AAGTTCAAGGCTGCTGACAACTATTAGATTGCTATCTTTTTTTACTTCACCACGCAAAGTATGACATAGACATCACTTCAGCAGATGTGGAAGAAGTACTCAGATCTTGTACTTAAGTAAAAGTATAAGTACCAGAGTGTGTGAAATCAATCTGGGTGTATCTAAAGATTTTCTTAGTATTGATCTTATTGTTTATCATTAAGCTATATCTGCAAAGTAACTAAAGGTACTACTGTACATGAATGTAGAAGAGTAAAAGTACAATATTAAACTCTGAGTTGTAGTGGAGTAGAAGAACAAAGTAGCATTAAATGGAAATACGTACCTCAAAATTGTACTTAAGGACAGTACTTGAGTAAATGTACTTAGTTACTTACCAGTACTGCTCGTCAGTATATTTACACACATCTTAACCAACGTTTATGTAAGAGAGGAGACAGAACAATTTCAGGTTTTAAAATGAACACTTTAAGAAAAAACAATAAAGAAAACATGAAATCTGTTAGATCTGGATTTCAAGCTGCTGTTTTTAGCAGACGGGCCAGTCCAACAGTTCATCGAGCACGGATTGCTGGGAGCCATGGCTCTTGGAGGCGATGTATTCTTCGTGTTGAGCCTCTGCTTTCAGCCGGCGTTTCTCCTGCTTCTTCTCCTGGTTCTGCTGGTACTTTCCAACCCAGTGTTCAACTGAGAGTCTGTCCTTCTGCATGGACTGCAGGGTCTCTCTGACCTCAGCTGTTTTTCCTTCAGATAAAAGAAGATACAAGTTGACTTGCATGTTGATTAAAAGTTAAACACAAGGCCACAGTAGAGGATATGACACACAGGCTTGCGGAGTACCGGATTGGAATTATCCACATCTGTGCTCCCGGGTGTATCTGTGTGTGTTTTCTTCTTGTATGTTCCTGCCTGTGTACATGACATAAACTGCTGCTCATAACCAATTGCCCCTTGCGGGATTAATAAAGTTGTTGATTGATTGATTACACATAACGACATAATATAATCAGGTTACCAAAAAAATGAAACTGTATTCGATTACAATTTCATTAAAAAGATAAGTAATCAGATTACTGTTACATTTTTTTTACAATACATTTTGAAATAACGATTGATATATTATAGGTAGATGTACTGAAATAATTTTCTTCATGGTTTATATTTAGGCTACTTTAATTCTTCTTTATTTTAAATACATTTATTTTTGAATGCAGTAGTAGACACCTGATTTATTAAAACGAAAATACAGTCTATGCTTTAGATTAATGTATTAAGCTTAAACAGCATTTGTGAACTCTAACTTTTACCACATTTTTTATATGAAATATCTTGGTTTCTCTTTTCTTAGGTTACATTGTTACATACACTTAATTGAAAATCATCTTATTGTTGTTTATTTTCTCTTGTTTTTATTTGCATTGCACTTCATATTGACGTAATCCAAAAGTGACGGAATATAATCAGGTAACATAACTTTTATATTTTGATACTTAGATTAAGTTACTGAGTACAATTGTTGACGTGTAACTAGTTATTGTAACGGATTACATTTTAAAGTAACCCTCCCAACCCTGATGAGACATACCATTAGACTTTGGGTTTGGTTTCGCAGGAAGGAGGAGATAGTTGGAGTTATCAGTGACACGCTCGGTCTCCATTTCTTTCTCTGCAAGCCAGTTTTTGTAGACACTTTTCTTGTTCAACCCATTTTTACTAAAGAACAAACAATAAAGAAAACAATGAAACAAGGTAAATAACAATAACAATAAAACGAATCTGTTAGAAAGTGGATTTTAGGTTGATTTTAGCAGACGGACCAGTCCAACAGTTCATCGAGCACGGATTGCTGGGGGCCATGGCTCTTGGAGGCGATGTATTCTTCGTGTTGAGCCTCTGCTTTCAGCCGGCGTTTAACCCGCTTCTTCTCGTGGTTCTGCTGGTACTTTCCAACCCAGTGTTCAACTGAGAGTCTGTCCTTCTGCATGGACTGCAGGGTCTCTCTGACCTCAGCTGTTTTTCCTTCAGATAAAAGAAGATACAAGTTGAGTTGCATGTTAATTCAAAGTTAAACACAAGGCCACAGAAGTAATCAGATAACTGTTGCATTAAAAAAAAAGAGAGATTACTAGCAGGATTAAAATGTTACAATACATTTTGAAATAAAGATCCATATATTATGGGTAGATTATATTTAGGCTACTTTAATTCTTCTTTATTTCAAATACATTTATTTTTTAATGCAGCAGGTAGACAACTGATCTATTAAACAAAAAAACAGTCTATGCTTTTGATGAATGTATTAAGCTTTTGTAATGTAACAGCATTTGTCATTTATTACTGTTACTACATTTTTTATATGAAATATCTTGGTTTCTCTTTTCCAAGGTTACATTCTTACATACACTTAAGTAAACAACAAGTTACTGTTGTTTGTTTTCTCTTGTTTTTATTTGCTTTGCACTTCATATTTAGGTAATCCAAAAGTAACGAAAAGTAATCAGGTTACATTACTTTTACATTTTGATACTCTGTTTTTTCAGTGTAATGGATTACATTTTTTACGTATCCTTTCCAACCCTGATGATACATACCATCAGACTTTGGGTTTGGTTTGGCAGCCAACAGGAGATAAGTGGCGTCATCAACGACAGGCCTACTGTACATTTCTTTCTCTGCAACCCAGTTGTTGTGGAGAGTCTTCTTCTTTCTCTGAGGTGACTTCATGTCGGGGGTCAGGCTGTCAGCCTCCTCTCGTCTCTTCTCCTGCTCTTCATTCAGAGCGAGGAAGTTGTGAGTTGGGCCTTTGACCCCCTTCAGCATCACCTGTTGCCACTGAAGCCTCTCTTGCTTCAACTGGTTCTGCTGTCTTTCCTTTGGGGCCTCCTGCCTCCTCCTGTCTTTCTCCATGCTTGCTTTCTTGAGACTTTCGGTCACTTTTTGAGTCTCTTCTCTGTCCCTCTCACTTTTTGCCAGGGTCTCCAGAGCAGCTGTTTGTCTGCGCTCCATCTCCACTGCTTTGAGCTCCACATACATTTGTCTTATGACCTCCACCTTTCTCTCCTCTGGGGTCAGTTTAGATACAGTATGGACAAGCTCCATCTCAGCAATGAGGTGTTGTCTAGAAGACATGTTAGTGTTCATAATTTGAACTTTTTCTCTGTAGGTTTTCTAATGCTCTCTCTCCAGCAAGTTTGTGTGAAATGAACAGCAGAGAGGCCTCAGTTGGTATGGAGATCCAGCAGAGTTCCATGTTCATATGTCCAGAACAGAGCAGGATTCTTTCTCTCTAGAATTACAAATGTGCCATATAAGCTAACTGTGCTTCAGCTTATGTGTTATTCTGTGTCTATTTATTGATGTTCAGTCCCTTCTTGAAGTTTTTTTGTTTCTTTCTGCAGTTTAATTGTGTCTATTTGAATTTGTTTTATAAGTATTTAATCATTTTGACCCTTCTCCTGGTTCCTACATGTCCTTTTGAGTATCGTTTTGTAGGTGAGGGGGCCAAAAGTGTCACTGTCCCCATGGTCTGTACCGTGAAGGTCCGTTCAGTTATTCATCATAATCAAATATATTTCCAGGAAACTCAGCTCCAGACATTTACAGTCCCCAGGAAATTACACTTTGGTGATTCCTTGACTTTACCCCCAGTGCCACGGTTGACATTTTTGGGTTTTAGTTAAATATATTGATGGATATCCAATGGATCAATTAAATGCAGTATAAATATCTACATTAAGACATCTAAACCTGAGAAGACACTCAATGTTGTTGGAGATGCAGTTGACTCAATTCACTTCATGGTTATTCAGCAGTGTGTGTGTGTGTGTGTGTGTGTGTGTGTGTGTGTGTGTGTGTGTGTGTGTGTGTGTGTGTGTGTGTGTGTGTGTGTGTGTTTGCGTTTGCGTTTGCGTTTGCTCAAGGTGGACCTGGAACAGCAGGGATATGGATCACTGAGTTTTTAATGTGCATCTGTCTGTGAGATGAGCAATCGGGGAATGTTGTTTTTAATTTCCACTGTAGACATCGTGTGTCTGACGTGACTCAAAATGTGCCTGTTATGTAAATCCTCAGAGGAGGTAAGTCAACACTGACACACCTGCGCACAGTCAGCTGGTTCATGGCAGGATTCACATTGAATTTACTTTGCACTATTTCAGCATGATTATACCTTTAAACTGCACATAAACATTTACTTATGACTCACCCTGCAGGAATGTATCTGATGCATTCCTCATTTCGGTGTAGTGTGCCAACATTTCACTACAGTTTCATCAGATGATAATTGCTGCCCTTTCACATGTATTGGTATGTGTATAGGGTGTGTTTGTGAGGGGGTGAGTGCAAACATTAAATAAATAAAGGATATGGATAATTTGGAGTGTGTGTGTCAGCTTAGAATAAGAAAAGATCCTTTGGCTGCCAAATCTGCCACCTCCTCGCTGGCAAAAACCTAGCTCAAAAACCTCAAAACTACCCCCACAGCTAGCACACTTCCACGTGACCCCACCCCCTGCCAACCGAACAGGTTTAAAGAAAACAAAAACACATATCTTCCCCTTCATACCAAGCTACTGTATGCTGCAGCAGTAATCTAGGGCACCGTCACCAGCAATGCAGACCTTTATCTAAAACAATTCAAGTGAGCAACAGGTCTGCAGTGATGTACACACATTTGAATCAGCCAGGGGGTTTAATGGAAAATAATATGTGTGTGGCTGAAACCTAGTCTAATTGTGGGTAAAGGTGAACTCAAGTGGAAAATAGAACTGTAATAACTGACAGGGCCTCTATTCAAAATAGGGCAACTGGGTGCATTCGAAATACTGGGGCACAGACCGCTCCCTCTCTCTCTGTGTGTGTGTGTGTGTGTGTGTGTGTGTGTGTGTGTGTGTGTATGTGTGTGTGTGTGTGTGTGTGTGTGTGTGTGTGTGTGTGTGTATGTGTGTGTGTGTGTGTGTGTGTGTGTGTGTGTGTGTGTGTGTGTGTGTGTGTGTGTGTCAGGTAAACGTCACAGTTTGCCGAGAAAGCCTCTGCGGGCGCGCACACACACTTCCTCAATCCCCGGAATCACAGAGCGATAAACGAGAGGAAGAGAGAGAGAGCACATTTCGTCGTGCTGCGGCGATAAAGACAGCCCCGAGTTTGAGGTGAGCTTGCTTTTATTAATTATTATTATTTAATTAGATGTTGTCGAGTTTTCGACAAGATTTGGGTTGTTTTAATATTTAAAGTTTGCAAAAAAAGTTGCTCAAACTACTCACTCTTCGTATTTCTATGGGGAAACAAACTGTAACCGTTGTCGCTAACGACTGAAAACGTTCGGTAACTTACAGTAACGTCCACACACACAACAGTAGGCGAATGGAAACAGATATTGTACGGCCATTAGAACAGTGTCACTAACGTTTACCAACTAGACTAGTTTCTCTGAATAAAATAATATTTGCGACCAAGTTTTTCCGTTGTTCGTCTTGTTAAAATAAACCGAAATGGGACAAAACCTGCTACCTGTCAGATGTTATGGTGTCCCAGGGTCTGCTATGAAGAAAAAAAAAGTGTTCTTAGTTTATCAGACACTGACAGGTGAAGTGTTACGGCTCGGTCAACCGATCGATACGGGCCACCACTTAATGCTATGCTAGCTCTCAAAATGTGTGACCCTTCATTAATACAGTGGGGTCACTTTACACTTAGTTATTTGTAATTTGTAGATTGGGTAAAACTAACAGCACATAGGCCTACAGTATATCTGTGTTTACTGCATCTGTGTCTGTTCCCTTCATAATGACAGGTCAGGTCTGCCCCTACCCCCCTGGCATTGTGATGCTTTAAAATAGGAAGCATGGCAAACATGTACTCAATAAGTGGTTACTATTAAAACAGTATTGGCGACATTGGGTGATTTGGCCCAATCATCAAAAAGCCCTAATTAAAACAGAAAACGTATATAAAGTAATTTAACAAATCAACTGACTAATTCAATAAAAGCACATGTGAAATATGTCAACAAGTATAACTTGACTGCTATAAACGCAGTGTTAACTATTAGTAATCAATTGTGCGGTAGCTGTATGTAATTCCAGTTCAGGCCACAGAAAATGTTGTCAGTACAAAGATGAGGAGGAATGTGGGCAGGTCTGGACAGCAAATAAAACGGAGTCTTTCCTAATATAACAACATTTTATATTGACAGGTATGCATCCTAAAAATCTGGTGTCTAACTGTCTTCTGAGACTTGAACTGAGTGACTTCTGAAAGTGACAATCAACCACATCCTTTCGAGAGAGAAACGTTGCAAGATGAAAATCAGATGCACTGATTGGTTGATGCTCATTTTCCTCACATGGTTATATGGTCATGTGTTTGTATAACTTACTGTAACAGCTGTTCTGGACTATTGTATTGTTTTGTAAAGTTGTTAAGTCTTCAGGCTTCAAAACTTGTTGCAATATGTTAAAGCAGAGGTAAACCGTGTGTATGTGTCTCTGACTCAGAAAAGAACATGTGAGAAATGTTTTCCATCACCATCAGTAACAGTGCTGGCTGCCATTTTAATGAATGAATGAAATCTTTATTGCCCGTTGGGGGATTTGCTTTTCATAGAGAGCACAAAATAATCTTTTAACAAGCCCAAGAACAAAACATAATATGTCACAAACTCACAAAACATATTGTCAGAAATTGATAAAGGACATTGTGTATGAGTTTAAAAAGGTGCTGAATTCTTGTTAAGCAGCTGATTACTGCATGGGACAAAATATGTGACACGTCCTTTATTATATATCCTGAGTCATGAAGAAAAAGTGCATATTCAAGTCTGAGAGGGGTGTGCTATGATATTGTGAGCTGTCATGTTAGTGATACTGCACATGCTTACACTGTGAGGTGGTCATAACAACCATATATACAGCAGTTCACTGAACAAGCTCCCGCTCATTTTTACTGTTATTTACTTCTCTCTTTTTTCCTGTCACAGTGGAGGATGTGTAGTCCCCTCCCCAACTTACTTACAACACTTTTGTGTTGGTCATTACTGCAGTTATCAGTTAGTAGGTTGTTTAAAAGGAGCATTCTAAATGTAGGTAGTAGTTACATTATACTGGTGCCTGGGACATAACTACTGAATTGAACAGATGGAACAAATCGAAGCTGCACATGGACAGTTTGCTGGGAAATCAATCACTACCGCCCTCAATAAGTCAGGGTTTGCTATTGATTAACTCCCAAAACCCTGACATCACAGCTCACAGCAGCAGTGGGGGAGTGAGTGAATATGGTCGTTCATCACACTCCACTCTTTGTGCAAACTTTTCTTTTCCCTTGCTTTTTTTGTGTCTTACTTTTCTGGTCTCAGTGTGGGTGGTTATGAGTTCAGTATTCTGAATACCAGCGAGGCCTACTGTGGTGCACTGCATGCTTGTGTTTGGATTAGCGACATGTTGAGGCTTGCTCAGCCTTTATAGTACAGGAAAACACCTCCACTGTTGCCTTTTAGAAGCTACACAGTCAAACAGGCACAGTGACAGGGAACTAAATAAGCCACAGAAGCTTAACAGAGGCACATTGACATTGTGGTTGTATTTTATACTTCAAGGTGTGGACAAAACATGCAAGACAGCATGCGTGCGACTGAAGTGCCATTGAAGTTCATGTGTGAGACTTACTGTATGGGCGTCACCTTTTCCATTGCACAAAACTGGTGAAGCAAAGGCTGTTACAGAAACACTTGTGGTTCCATCTGTGGCACATGAGAGCTTATGCAAACAGCAAATCATGAATGCAGCAGCTTGTGCCCGGCACAAGGATTTTATTGATCTCTTGACACTATTGTCATATATTCCAGCTCTTTTTGTGTGTAATGTGTGTGTTTGGGATGTGAGAAGTGGGTAAGATGATACAAAACTTGCTTTGTGTTTAACTAATTATATATAAATGTCACCAGGGTAACGCTGTGTTTGTCTGTTTCTAAAAACAGGTGACCTTGGTAGTCGTCACCATGGCTCCTTTCTTGAGGATCGCCTTCAATGCTTACGACTTGGGCGTCCTTCCTCCTCTGGCCGACCCGCCTTTCTGTGCCATCAAGTTGAAGGAAGCTCTGACAACCGGTGAGAAACTATTCCTTAGCATACACCAAACTGTCTTTTACGGAAGTACTTTCTGCAACTTCCTTCTTATTTACTACATTTGAAAACAAAATACTTATTTGTTGTCCCTGTGTTTATCTACCTTTCCCTAGAACGAGGTAAGACCCTGTTACAGCGGAAACCCACCATGTACCCGGCTTGGAAAGCCTTTTTTGATGCCCACATCTACGAGGGTCGTGTGCTGGAGATACTGCTGATGAAGACAGCAGAGGAGCCGCTGGCTGAGGTCACCGTGGGAGTGTCTGTCCTTGCTGAGCGCTGTAAGAAAGCCAACGGGCGCGCTGAATTCTGGGTAGGTCATTACAGATTGTCCTCTTTTCCTGTAGTGCAATCTTTCAGGCTGTCTGAGTGTAACCTTCTGTGTGTCTAACTGAGTGTTCCTGTGTTCAGGTGGATCTTCATCCTTCTGGTAAAGTGATGATGGCAGTGCAGTATTTCCTGGAGGAAGTGGATTCAGGTATTGGAAATACATTGGAATCATTGTATTTCTTTTTTCTCTGCTTCGGTAGCTACTTTCTGTAGCTTTCTGGTTAGCATTGATTTCTTAACATTTTGAATATAATCACCAAATCTTCTCTTTGGTTGGTTTTATATCCTAATTATTCCTTTATTACACTACATTTTTAATATTACAAAACAACACAACATGTTTTTTCTTAATAATTATTTATTTCTAGAATGTAATATCCAAACAACCTACCAAATGTCATCAGATTCTTTAAAAAAATCATTTTAGTTCAACGACAGATAATCAAACAGGATTTTACAAAAAAACAAACTAAACCCAACATTTTTTTAGGGAACTAGTTGGAGATGTCTGGTATCATTTTACTAAATTACATATTGTTATTGTCACATGTTTGTAGTAGTATTAGAAGTAGTCAGTGCTACTACCACATTACCAGATTGGTAGTATGGGGTACACATTGGTTACCTCATGTTTTTTAAATGCTTTGCGCCGGCGACAGGCCTATTTTTATAATTTCATCGTAGTTGTTATTTCTTTGATTTTTAAACATCCCTACTTACAAACACTGTCCAGCCATTTGTCAGTATTTTCCCTTCATTAACTTTATCATTCACAGGCTTCATATGTGACCAATTCACTGGGTCCACATTGGTTATCATTAAGGCTATCAGTTTATTTCCATTGCAGTATTGTGGGAGGACTGATGTGTGTTTCTCTTCGTATCCTACAGAGAGTAAGGAGGCTGCCAAGGATGAAGAGGGTCCTACACTGCATCGCAGACGTGGGGCCATCAAACAGGCCAAGGTCCACTTAATAAAGAACCATGAGTTCAGCGCCACGTTCTTCAGACAGCCCACTTTCTGCTCTGTGTGTCGAGAATTTGTCTGGTTAGTTCAACCTATTTCCCGCTCTATAAACAAACCTTCAAGGCAACTAAGGGGAACTTGTAAACCAAAGAGGAGATTAACTGATAGAGCAGACAGAACGACACAGTGAAATTAACAACAGAGTATTTAGGAACTTCCTCATATTTGGAGGCATTCAACACTCGATGGCTGGTTTATGTTGAAGAACATTTGACAAACTGGTTGCTAATAATGTTAATGATAAAGCCAATGAGGTTAAAGGTGGGGTAGGTAAGTTTGAGAAACCGGCTCGAGATACACTTTTTGTTATATTCCATGGAATGCTCTTAACATCCCGATAGCAATGAATATCTTAAGTGCTTTGACAAAAAATTAATAAAAAAATGTCATCTGTGGAAGCCGTAATACTGTAAAAAGCACGACCAATCATTTGAGCCGGCCCGGCTAAAGTAACTGGATGGCCTACCTGCCTGTCAGCCTTCCATCTGTGCACAAACTTATCTCGTGCCCTCATTGGTCATGTGCGCGTTCGTGTGTGTTGGAGGAGGGGCTCTGTAAGGAAGTGGCAGATTTTTTCCGGTTGTGTATTTTCAAATTCTAGCGCACTCGAGCTGGTTTCTCAAACTTACCTACCGCACCTTTAACCCATTCTTGATGTTTTAGAAGTTGTTTGTCATTGTTTAATGGCTATAGATGTGCTTCTAAACTTGGTATCTGGAGAGGAAGTTTATTTAAAAAGGAAACCCTGAGACACAAATCAGCTTGGTTGTACTGCAGCTGTTCATTATCACTAACTAAGTGAATAATCAGCACACCATTCACAGTCACATGATCAAACAACTTTACAGACTGACCTATTTGACTAACTTTGCCTCCCACAGGGGACTCAACAAGCAAGGCTATAAATGCAGACGTAAGTGTACAATAATATAAAAACACCTGTGCTTTGTGCAATTCTTGAAATGGCAAGCTACTGATTGAAAAATACATACTTCACTGTTCATTTGCCTCGACATTGTACACAATATGTTCCTGAATCAAAGTGTACAAATCTCTTTCATCTTGGTTTTCTATCAGAGTGCAATGCAGCCATCCACAAGAAATGCATAGACAAAATCATCGGCAGATGTACCGGTACTGCTGCCAACAGTCGGGATACTTTGGTACGTATCACATATTTGTGCAGTACACCATGTACTGTTAGCGTACTCCATATGTCTCACAATTTCATTTAAGTGTGGGCTTTTCTCACTCTGGTGTTTTGTTGTAGTAAAGTATCCTACCATACCAGTTGGAAGGATGATGGTCCTCTAATGGAATAGAAGACACCAGTCAGGGTCCACATCCAATCAGAAGGCTTTTGAATGATTATTAATATTTTTGGATAAAGATGATCAAAGACCAACTGATCTAGATAATGGTTGATTCAAGCACACACATGGGGTGTGGTCTCAGGGAACTACTCTAAATCAGTGCAGAGGTAGACCTGGCAACAAACCAGGAACTTCATATCCAACAGTCTAGTCACTTCTGACAGTTCAAGCTAAGAGAGGGAAGCAGACCATAAAGCAAACAGGAAATAGAAAATGAAGCAGGTGCGGAGGCCTGCGAGCTATCACAGGCGACTAATTAGAGATCCTCTGCCTTGGGTTATTCATGGAGATGATGTGTCCCGTTTGTCCCCACAGTTCCAGAAGGAGCGCTTTAAAATTGACATGCCCCACCGTTTCAAGAACCATAACTACATGAGTCCCACCTTTTGCGACCACTGTGGAAGTCTGCTGTGGGGTCTTGTCAAACAAGGACTCAAGTGTGAAGGTACAGTGCCAATATGATGCACTCTTTGTTGGAGTGTCGGTGTACTTTGTTCTTAAACAATTTGTTGTTTTCCCATTTGTAGATTGTGCCATGAATGTCCATCACAAGTGTCAGGATAAGGTGGCCAACCTCTGTGGTATCAACCAGAAACTACTAGCTGAGGCACTTACACAAGTCAGCCAGGTGAGTTCCTGCAGACTGTCACAAATCATTCAATGAATGCTTCAATCAAGTCTCATGTCCAAGAAAAATCCAAAGAATTTCAATGACAAGTCTTTCTTAAGATACCAGATAATCATACCAATGCTTTTTAAGATATTGTGGATATTTCATAACATTATACTCAGCTATTAGTATACCAAGATTAGTTTGAGGAACATTAATGGAACTTGTTGACCAGAATCTAAACTCAATTGTAGATAAGATCTTAAAACATTTCAATGCCCTGCCCTAGGTAAAAAGACACAAGCATTATGTAAAAAATTGCACTGTTTTCTATTCAGTACAGGAGAGTATAAGGGAGCTTGGTAAAACTGAATTTGAGCATCTGGAGTTCAAGAGTGTTACATGACAAACCAGCAAAGCTACAATAGTTATAATAATGTTTTCTTAATGATAAAGTTATAGTGCATGACAAAAAACGAAAAGAAACTGTTAAAAACATCGGATCAACTACATGTCTACATTATATGATCTGCTAAAAGATCCGGCACAAATACAAATGATGGTAACAGAAATGATTGGTTATTATTTTGCATGCATGTTGAAGAAGCTGTAGATCACGTGTGGGATAAAGCAAAAGAGTGACAAGAAACATGTAGAAAGCGTTTATAAAACATGTTTATATTAGGAGATAGTTTGGTGATTGACCTAAATACATCTTCAACACAGGGTCAGTGGTGAACCTAACCAGGATGTTAGCCTGACCCCCATCCCAGCTGTAACCTTGACCCCATTTAAATCTAGCACTTATTTCAGCCTATTTATATTATGAATACCAGTCCTAACCCTGCTACAGCACATCTGTAGATTGCTTTACACAATATGATGTAGTGATTACATAACAATCAGTTTATTGCTGGCTAACATATTAGCTTCCTGCCCTGGTGTGTTTAAGGACTGGCTCAATGTGGAACCTTTCAGTTACCTTGTTCTCTTTTTACAGTCAAAGAAGACAGTCATTGTTTATCGTGTGCAAATGGGATATAGCACAGCTAGATGAGTAATCATTGCTGGGGAACTATTTGTGTTTCTGTTTCATGCTTATTTTTACTTTCTCTTTTGCATCAGAAATCGTCCACAAGACGTTCAGATCCAAACCTGGCTGACCTCTCTGATATTGGAATCTACGATGAAGTTAACAAGCTTTCTGGACTGGATATCAATGGTCAGTCAGTGCTCTGTAGTCACATACATTCATGTGAGCTGTATAGGCTCTGTACTAGTTATAAACTTACAGAATAATATACAAATATGTTCAATGTCTAAGATAATTTTGTAGAAATGCACCAATTCTATGAAATACTGGGATGGTTTTTTTCTGTTTTTGTTATTTATGTGTTTTTGTTCTGAGCTATCCCCCTTCTGTGCTAGAAAAACTGATACATTTTAACTATAGAAATATAACAAATACGTTTATAAACCACTAGCCCTATTCTATATTTGAATGAGTACACATTTGATCAAACTAATTAATTAAACCACCTTTATTTTAGCCTTCTTTTACATTTAGAATGACTTTACTTTCTAACTATCGATAACTATACTTAATTCTAGAGATACTGTGACTACTACTTAATACTTGAGATATCTGGAGCATCTATGTCTTGTTGCAGCTCAGTCTATTTCCCTGCACTCCCTGTCCTTTTGACGCAAGAGCATATAGTGCTGGAAAATGGAAGTGAATATTTCTCCAAGATATGATTGCCGCCGAATTTATAGATAGAAAGGTGTCATAGAAACTGCAGGTGGCTGATTTTCCTTTGAGGCGTGAAACACTCCCACATGACTGACATTTTCTTTCCTTTTTATTTGTAAACAATCGACATGTGTGCGTGGCACCAGTTGTCTCTATTACATCATGCCAGAGTCTTGTCCAGACACTGGCTTATTCTCCAAATGAATAGCTTGGTATGCCAGCTTTGTCCAAGTGTAAGCGCAAATAATTTAAGTTGAAGTACATTTAGCCTGCATAAAAATGATGGGACACAACAGATTAACACTGTGATCGGCAAATGTCCCCTTTTTGTAGATGTCCTCATGGCAGTATCAAGGCAGTTATCAGACAATACTGATGTTGGGCTAAAAAAATCGGTTTATAACTAGTTATTTGAATAAGCCATTTTTATGTGTGCTAATTAGTAATTGTTTCTCCATCAGATGGATCTCCCTATGGCAGATTGTGGGAGGACTCCAACCCACGGCCTCAGTCTCGTATTACCCATTTGACGCGCATCAATGTTGACGACTTCGTTTTCCACAAGGTCCTGGGAAAAGGCAGCTTTGGAAAGGTATTAAAAACCATCTCACTGTGAGACTGCTATTCGACAAACAATCAAAGAGTGAGAGGATAACCAGAAGTGAATCAACCACACTCCAGGCAACTGTCTCATATACTGGCAAAATAGGCCTCTAATTGAAATGATAGCATACATCAAAAATATGTAACTCTGATCTCTTGACAAGAGAAGGTTCATGCTTGAAATTAGATAGAAAACAGTCAACAATTATTTTCTTCCCCTCTTCACCTCACAGGTTCTCCTGGCAGAGCTGAAGGGTCGTGGCGAGTACTTTGCAGTGAAGGCTCTGAAGAAAGATGTCGTGCTGATGGATGACGATGTGGAGTGCACTATGGTTGAGAAGAGGGTCTTGGCATTAGCCTGGGAAAACCCCTTCCTCACACACCTTTACTCCACCTTCCATACCAAGGTAGTCCACTTCCATCTTATTAGTGTCTTACTGTTTATTTATTGTATTCATCATCATTAGTGTAAATTGAATCCTCAATACTCAAAGTAAACATTGTCAACAGGAGCATCTGTTCTTTGTGATGGAGTATCTGAACGGAGGAGACCTGATGTTTCACATTCAGGAGAAAGGCCGCTTTGAACTCTACAGATCCATGTGAGTCACGCCTGTCACAAAGATATAACACACAGACTTTATTTGAAAAAACACACACTACCTGCCATCATTGCTCAGTGCTCTAGTGTCTCTGCAGCTGTGCAGAGACCCACAGAACAGTATCACTGAGCTGATGGAAAGCAGATAGAACTTGTGTTTACTCTCCTCGTGTGACTCTCTCCCATTATGGTTTTTTATTAGTTTATAGTGAACTCTGATGGACTGGGGCTGGAGTCTATTAGCTGCTGCACTGGCAGACTGGCCTTGTATGGACTAAGAAGCTCTCAGTGAGTCTCTTATGTTTGTATCGGGAGGTATCGGTTACTTCCACCCACCTCTCTACTCATCACACTCTGGGAATCCCTCCAGAAAAAAAACAATAGCACCCCGGTAAAGAGTGTTTTAAAGCCCAAAGCTCGGTGGCACATGTGCCAGCGCCAAGTACGTTTTCAAAAAGTCTTACATTTACAGAGACGGAAGTGAAATAAGTACTTTTACACCTACTATTGTGTAACATTTTCCAACTTAAATAGTGTCAACTTTTTATCTTTTATCTTGTCGAAAAAATAAATGTTTGACCTCAAGGACCATTAGTGCTACCATCTGTAGTTTTTTCAATTGTTGACATTTCTTTTAATCATTTTGAGCACCTTAAGGAAAGAAAAATAAGTGTAACTGTTACACTAGATTTTTTTTGTATTAGTGTCACAAATTGCAAAGCAGACTTCAATGCATTCACTGTTGTGAAGCTTGTGGTTTGTCTTGAAGAATGTCCAGACTATCAATACATGTATCATTATCATTCTTACACACTTGTATTATTTTTGAACATACTGGTTTTTGTGTTTCAAAAGCAGGTTGAACCCTGACATTACAATGGGGTTTCTCATTGCATTCCCTGTAGTTACACTTTGTCCTGGGCTCAGGAGATGACAGGAGTAATTCTCCTCTTAGCAAACACAGACACCTGATCTTGTGTTGGCATCTGCTAAAATCCTCCTCACTCAGTGACTGTATTCAGCCTGGAAGGATAATTCCCCCTTAGTGAGTGAGGAGAAAGAGAGTGGGCTGCTTCATTATCTTAGAATAATAATTAAGTTGGTGCCTGGCTTCCAAGTTGTCGCAGTGGAATTTAAAGTATCTAATGCATTCGGTTATATTGTATTTTCCCTTGGGCATCTGATGAACGGTAGAGTTTCAGATGACCTCTTTTACAGCAAAAAGTGCCTCTTCTCCCAGTGGCTACTGCTAACCTGTCGACCCAGTACTGTAGAGAGTTGCATACTACAGAAACTTAGTTGTTCAGGCAGTAGAGCAGCCTCTAGGCCTGTAGGCCATAATTACATTATCGACTCATTGTACAATATATGCACAAGACCTTCAATTTTTACGTTATGAAATCATTGTCCACAGCTCCACATTGTGGGTTTAGGTCGAATGAGAGAGGAGTTGTAACTCATTTTAAACTTATATGTAGCTGTTATATAATAGCTAATATGTTGTTACCTTGCAGTTTTATTAACAAAGATCTTTTAGAAACTGGATTGGCAGTAAATGACCAAAGAATAACTCACCCTCTATACCCCTTTGCCAAATGTTTAATTTTGTTTAAGAGCACTTTGGGGGACCAAGTGTTCATTTTGTGTTTGTCATGTGAGTTTATTTTATTATTTTAAGCCAGTTTAGTCTTTATTAGAGAGATAGTTTGAAATAAGCAAATGGAGGAGTTGACATGCGTAATGGGACCGCAGGTTCTGTGGTTTTATTTTATTATATAATGTAGCACTGTGATTTCTTGGATAATATATCGTATCGTACAATGAACTGTATATGTGTGCACCTGCTAACTTGTTCTAAGGCGGTTGTATGTGTAAGGGTTTTACGTGAGAGATACTCAGTGGATAAAACTTTGAAGTGCTTGTTAGTTGTGCATTTACAAGGAACAGGGATTTACAGGGTTAGAGCAGAGGCTGTTCTATCTCTTCTCAGGACTCATTTGTTTCCCTTGACACAGATGACAAGTGAAGCAGGTCAGAGATAGAGAGAGGCTAATTTTTCCTCTAACCGCGCCTCTCAGGTTTCAGAGCGTTATTCACCTCTCTGCTACTCCATACAAATGTCCTCCTCAATAATTCAGCTCTACACTGAACTGAGTCTGCAGTGACACCAGTGTCCAGCTGCCAACTCTCAGTGAGATGGCAGCAGCGCGGACCTGTAGCTTTCCACCAGAGATGAGTAGTTGATATCTGTCTCTCTTCGCCATGTTTGTCTCCCCAGGTTCTACTCTGCTGAGATCATCTGTGGTCTTCAGTTCTTACACACCAAAGGGATCATCTACAGGTCAGAAATACCTGTATTCATTATTATTATCAAAATATGTATTAACTCTGGATGTACAGTGCATACACTAATTCGTTTTCATGTTTTACCATAATAAAGTACAATTACAATTGCAATGAGAAAGTAAATGGGGACACTACAAAGTCGCTTGTTAAGTAATCCCACACATTCTAACACATTTTTTTCTAAAGTTTCATTACCATTGTGTGGTCATGCAGTTTGGAACAAGGACTGTTTAGGAAACTGTGAATTTGTTCATTTCTTGCAGTAAAAAGCTATCTCAAAATCACATAAACATGTAAGAGCAGTAATAACTTCTACAGTTTCTAGTAAAAAACAACATGAACATTGGTCTAAATATTCACATTGATTGATTACGTACCCAAGGCAAGATTTAGATGTCTGTAACATTTCTATTTTTATAATTGTGATAAAAGGAGTTAAACCAGCGGCTGCCTGGTAATAAAATGTAAACTTGGATTTTAAGGTCTGCTTTGAAAATAATTGTCAATTAAATGCAACAATTAATGCATAAGACTTTCAAACTCACTGATATGGTTTTCTGGCTTAAGTGGTGTTTCATTTCACATTCCCCACTTGCTGAACTTTTTAGGCACTCTTTTTTTGTCCCATATTAAATCCTCTTTCCATTTAAAAGGTGCAACCATTAAGTGGCATTTTAAGTTAATTCTGATAAAACCAAAACTGTCATATCGAACGTTATATAATTGCAAACTACCAAGTTATTACCATCTTCAAATAACTTGATTTTTTCACCGATCATGATGTGATTTTCTTTGTTTCCAGAGATCTTAAATTAGACAATGTGATGCTGGATCATGAGGGACACATAAAAATCGCCGACTTCGGCATGTGCAAGGAGAACGTGTTTGGAGAGAATCGTGCTACAACTTTCTGCGGTACTCCTGACTACATCGCCCCAGAGGTATAGTGTTTCATACTCAGATCTGCTTTCTTGTCCTGACATATTTAACTGTGCACCTGATTTGGTTTCATAATTCAGCATAAAAAACACATGTCACTGAATTTCTAAATTATTCTTATTTATAATACTTTGTTTCAACTCAGATCCTGCTGGGACAGAAATACTCATTCTCCGTGGACTGGTGGTCGTTTGGGGTGTTGCTGTACGAAATGCTGGTCGGTCAGTCGCCTTTCCATGGAGATGACGAGGATGAGCTGTTTGAGTCCATCCGCATGGACACCCCCCACTTTCCACGCTGGATCAACAAGGAGGCCAAGGACCTGCTTGAGCGGGTCTGTATCACAACCTTTCAATACTGAAGTCAAAGGGCACCATTTCTGCTCCTGGGTTAATCTGGCGTCTCCATTTTTGATTATTTTATGTTTTGGATTTAAAGCGACATGGGGTTGTATGAGGTGCTTTTCCATCTTTATGGTATAACCTGGAATACCTACAGTAGAAGGCCGCCAGTAAGCCTCCAGTTTGCAAAAACAGACTGAAGTACATTAAGGAAGCTAAGCAAAGTATTCAAAAATGTATGTTAGTTTTAGAGTATGCTTTATTAGGAACATTTTTACAGTTTTATTTAGCTGTAAAACAATCCCTTTCCTACAGGGAACTAAAGCTGTTACATCAATCAATGTTCTTGTCACAGCTACCAGACTCATTTAACAAAAATACCCCACTAATTTCACTTTCAGACCAGTTGCCTGTTCGGCTGTCTCGATTGGTTAGTTATTTTTAATGTGTAACTTTGGTTAGTTCTGAATCACGAAAAAAAAACCTTTCATGGCAGATTTGGACATAGCATTAGTGTTCTGCCGGGTGAAAATACTGTTTTTGACTGATATTGTTTTTGATTTTAAATCATTTTGCGGCTGCCCCCGTCCAAATCAGTACAGTGCTCAGCTCCTTGCCCATACTGTGTGTTTCTCCTAATTCAAAGCGTGCTGCCCTTCATCTACACTAAGTAATACAATAAGTACGTATTAAAGCCTCATGCAACCCTCATTCAAAAAATCCAAACTACCCCTTAAGGAGAATACTTCAGCTTTTTGGTTAAAGAAATCTATTCAAATCCTGTTGAATCTTGTTATTTATGTATTAAAAGCTGCTGTTTTTTTTATTCACTCTTCATTACTTACTTTTACTGACTCCCTGCAGTTGTTCGAGAGAGACCCAACTTGCAGATTAGGAATCGTGGGTAATATCCGACTACACCCCTTCTTCAAGACCATCAACTGGCAGGCCTTAGAGAAGAGAGAGATTGAACCCCCCTTCAAACCCAAAGTGGTAAGCCCCAGAATCATGTCGTTGAGGATTCAATTATGAAAAAATATGAATCATGTGCTATGTTTATAATTTACGATGAATGCCCGTTTTATATTTTGCTGAAAAACATTTATTACCAAATTACAGAAAGCACCGAATGATTGCAGCAACTTTGACCGGGAGTTCCTCAGCGAGAAGCCTCGTCTCTCCTACAGCGATAAGAACTTCATAGACTCCATGGATCAGGCGGCATTCGCTGGCTTTTCATTCATCAACGCTAGGATGGAGCAACTTTTAGAAAAGTGACGTTGCGATGACATTTGACAGACCTGGGTAACATCTCTCCTGCTTACGAGCATTCCCCTTGTTCTGTCACATAGTTAAGATTACAGTGAGCTGTTCCACAATCAGTATTTCTGTGACCTTGTTTTAAGCACAAACTATTCTCCTTGGGTACGTGTAGAAATAATGAGAGTAGAAGCGGGGCCCTTTTACTGTACATATTGATGTTATTGTGTTTGTGTGCATGTTTATTATATGTCTAGTTCGTTTTAAGCCTTTTTGAGTAATAATATGAGCAATATAAGGATTTCAAAGACAAGAGTTCAGTTCAATCTCCTGCCCTTGAAATCCTTACCTGGCACTTGACATCAGCGTTATCATCTGCAGCCATTGTGTGTTCCTTTTTGGTAACAGTTCATTCAACCAGAATGGGAATAAATATGTATTTGAGGGATAGAAACCTATAGGAATAAATTATACTGTTTACTTAAAATGTAGATATTTTTTGTGTGAATGAGTTGAGTGCATGTATACAAATCTCAGAGCAACCAAACCCTGTTAATCTATACATACAGATTAATGATGATTGTTATCTATTTTGTCTTTGACTGGATTAATCACGTCTTAATGACAAGAAGAACTTGTGAGGGTAGACTCTCCAGTGCCATGTAAAGAACACATTTTAACAGCTGGTCTCAGATGAGTTGAAAGCCCTGTCATTGTAGGGGGGCTGCAGTCGGGTACAAAAGGTCAAGTAAAGGTACGTGACTTCAAACAATGAGTGGGGAGTCATTTAAATGCTGTAAATAGACAATGTATATGTATATTGCTGTAACATGTATATTGGTTCTCTTAAGGATGTCCTTTTTTTTTACTGTCTCCATCTTTTACATCTGATTAAAAAAACAATCAACTCCCAAGTCTGGTGTGCTATTTCAAAGAAATAAAAAACATCCGCAAATCAAGATGCAACTTCAGAGGGTGCAAGCAGACACGTAATATGAAGGTTTCTTACTGTTGTATTTTAATAATCCCATTTGGATATTCATTTTGGTATCATTTTAAATGTGTTTTTAATATAATTGTGTATGTAAAATGTATTTATTGCAGAATTATTTTTGTTGGTTTATCATTTCTCTAATAAAGTTTTTAGTAGGAATAATAAGATATCCAACAGCCTATAAATAAAACTACTGATAACATTTAAATAAAGGGATGGTTATTGTAGGCACAATACATGACTGTCTGCCATTAATCTATAAATAAAAAGGAAATGGTGAATAGTTTAAGTTTAGCTTAACATAAATGCATATAAGTTTATGTGCTATTTTTTTTCTCCAAAGGATACATATTAAGCAGCCAACACTGCAAGTTATTACAAGAATCAAGTAATTTCTCCTTTTCTGTCAGACTTCACTGACCTACGATGATTAAAAGGAAGGTTACGCCCTCTAGCGACACCTCATTGGACGTAACACTCTCTGACGTCACCGCGCAACGTAGTTCCGTAAAATGTGTACGGAAGTGTTACTACTAGTATGCTGCTTCTAGCCTCTGCTGCTGTTCAGCACATCTCATTTCAAACTTTTCGTTAGGATTAACGCGCTATTATTATAAGTTTTAAAGCTGCCACCACAGACGGGGTTGGCAGCATGACTCCATATTGAGTTTTCTTTGTAGAAAGCAGCAGATAAGTTGTTGACTTAGCGCTTTTAAGTCGAGTCAGAGGAAGTCCAGGATGAGTTCTCAGGATGTACTGAAGAATGCGTCCACTCTTGCATCGTATAATGTGTTGTTACAGGTACAGGGGGCTCACAGTCGGGATATATCAGCCCAGTGTGTTACATTTACCGACGACTAATATAATTTGTTCTATCTTAGGTGATGTTCCGTGTCCTCACCTTCTTCCTGAATGCATTTACCTTGCGGTTTGTGTCCAAAGAACTGATAGGTGTTGTCAACGTCAGGTAAGGATGCTGACAGGTGCTGAGTTGTGAGAACAGGGCAACCAGCCTATATAAGAAAAATAGCACAATGCCAACACATCGCACTGCATCAGCTGCTGTAACATTGTGTGTCTGTGTCTTTATTGTGCAGGCTTACACTACTGTACTCCACATTAGTGTTTCTATCCAGAGAAGCTTTCCGGAGAGCCTGTCTAAGTGGGGTTTCTGGGAAGAACCACAGCTGGAGACAAGTTATCAACCTGCTATGGCTGACGTGAGTTGGGTTTTATGAAATGGGTAAAGTGCTTCTAAACTTGTGTATTTGGTTTAGTTCTACTGCACGATAATAAAGATGCAAAATAATTATAACGATAATACAATTTCACCTCTTTTTGGGAGTGTTTTATGTAAGTTAATGTCTGAAAGTAGAAAAAAAAAACATTATTAAGCTTTGATGCTTTCCTGCGTGTCTTGTGTTGTCTTTCTTACCTCTCAGGTTGCCTCTTGGTGCATTGTGGGCTGCCCTGCTGATCTGTGTATGGCTCTGGCTGCTGGAGGTCCCAGACCCCCAGACCATCCCTTACTACGGCCCTGCTGTGGTGCTATTTGCTCTGTCAGGACTGCAGGAGCTCCTGGCCGAGCCCCTCTGGGTCCTGGCTCAAGCTCACATGTTTGTCCGTCTGAAAGTGGTCGCTGAGAGTTTAGCAATGATCGCTAAGTGCAGCATAACTGTGGTGATGGTGATGTTTGCCCGTGAATGGGGCCTTTACATCTTCTCTGCTGCTCACGTAAGACATTTGCTGATAATCACCCATTATTCCTGTAATAACTAACTCTATGCAATGATTTGAACAGTTTTTTTCTTAGTTGGTGTACACAGGATTCCTGGTGCTGTGCTACGCTGTTTACTTCATTCGTTTCTTGGGCTCTAAAGAAGCAGAGGAGAAGGGTTTTCCCCTGCACAGTGTCAAAGATCTCTTGCCCCGTAGAGCAAAAGGAGAGGTAGTACGGCAACACAATAAAGCACTATTTAATATTCATAATCTATTTTTATAAAACCAACCTGGAAGTTAAAGGTGTTACCATACAGTACTAATGCTCATCTTGTTCTCTGTTCATAGCCGTTGGTTGATTGGAGTCTGGCCCAGCTCACATGGAGCTTCTTCAAGCAGTCCTTCTTAAAGCAGATCTTGACAGAGGGAGAGCGCTACGTCATGACCTTCTTAAACGTCCTCAGCTTCGGAGACCAGGGAGTTTATGATATCGTCAACAATCTGGGCTCCATGGTGGCTCGCTTTATCTTCTTGCCTATCGAGGAAAGCTTTTATATCTTCTTTGCCAAAGTGCTGGAGCGGGGACGTGATGTCAAAAGTCAGAAACAGGTGTGATTCTTGAAAATGATCAAAAATAAGTCTTCCAAGAAATGAAGCATTGGTTTACTTAGATGTTGTGGGTTTCTTTTACAGGAAGACGTTGCGATTGCAGCAGAGGTCCTGGAGTGTCTGCTGAAACTGGTGCTGGTGGTCGGTCTGATCATCTCAGTGTTCGGCTACGCCTACTCTCACTTGGCTCTGGACCTTTATGGTGGCTCGCTGCTAAGCAGTGGGGCAGGTAACAGAGCCTCAACGAACTTGTTGTATTGGATATATGTGACAAAATTAGCTTTGTATAGCGTTCTTAGTCACTGCTCTCTGTTTGTTCTTCTTCTTGGTTTAAGGGCCCACTTTGCTGCGATTCTACAGCAGCTATGTTCTCCTTCTCGCTGTGAATGGTGTCACGGAGTGCTTTGTATTTGCTGCCATGAGCCAACGAGAGGTTGACAAGTAAGTTATGTAGAAATATACATTCAGTTTGATATAAACTACCTACATGGCCATCCGTGGTATAGCTCGCGGTTACATTAAATAATGTCCCAACCTTACAGCCAAGCCACTAAGATCAGCTGATCAAAACCTTTTAGCTGTTTCTTGACCACAATGAAAACCAAGGGTGATTGTAGGTTATCAGCCTTCTGCTTTTTAACAGCCTTCCCCTCAAGGTTAGCTTGCCATTTCCAAATATAGTATATTTGTTTTAGTAATGTTATTTAAAATATTTAGATGCACAGATTTTTGTGATATTTTGCACGTTTATCTGTTTTATCTGCCTAGATCAGTGTTTCTCAAACTTTTTCATACCAAGGACCACTTTACCAATAAAAAATCACTCGCGGACCACCTAACTCCACAAATATCCAAAAACACATCGTTTTTCTAGAACAGATTACAAATCGCCTGCAAATTGTACAAACAAGTGGCAACATGTGTGATGAAGGTGTTGCGCTGGGCTATATCATGCAATCCAAAGAAACTTAAGCTCGCTCCATTGCGGAGATATTCCCGCGAGAGTGCGGAAAACTTAAATGTATTTATTTATTTCAAATGTGAAATTGTACCAATATACTCATGGACCACTAGGGGGCGCTCACGGACCACCAGTGTTCCGCGGACCACACTTTGAGAAGCACTGGCCTAGATGATATCACCTCCTATATTTGCATGTTATTCGTTTTTATATTAACTTATGTATTTATTTTATGTGCACCTACCTCCCTCTTTTATGTTTGGGTTCAGTGTTGCTTGATGTGTTCTCATTTTCCTACATTCTGAATGTCATACAGGGGGATTACATAGGTTTCAGTATTTCTACATTTTCATGCTTTTATTCATGTAACCTGTAAGTTAAATCCCTATTTGTGTTTTGTCCTCAGGTATAACTTGGTGATGCTGGCTCTCTCCCTGTCTTTCCTGTTCCTGTCCTACATGCTGACATGGTGGGCTGGCAGTGTGGGCTTCATACTGGCAAACTGCCTTAACATGGGCCTCCGCATCTTGCACAGTGTTCTTTACATTCACCGCTACTTCCTGTCCAGTCAGTGGAAACCTCTGCAGGGCCTGCTGCCCTCCCCGCTCCTCCTGCTGGCTCTGGCTGTCAGTGCCGTTGTCACAGCGCTGTCTGAGGTACGAGAGAGTCGCGTGACAAGTTTGATCTCTTAATATCAACCAATGCATTTCAGTTTTATGTATTCTATATAATCACTCCTAGAGATGGGATGATACATGATTTTTGGGGAATTCGCAATAAAGTTGTCTAGCTGGCTTTTATGGTAGCAAAGCGAAAAGTAAAGCCTGGTTTCCAAAAAAAGAACTTACTCCCAAAAAGTTTCTTTAAAAAGTATTTATACTCTATTTATACCATGGGATTGTTTTTCACTAAAAAGCATATTCACCAAAAATGTGTGTCCTATCTGTGAGGCAATACAATTATTGTTTTCTAACTAAATGATTCCAGTAAGTTATTGGGTCATTATTAAAGATGTAGGCATATTTTGGATAATATGTTGAATTTGAACTATTTTGGGCAGGATAATCGTGACATGAGATGTTAATGTTGTTTATGCCTAATCTGTATTGGAGCCTGTGCAAATCAGAGCCCTAACTTGTGCTTCTTTACTCTCTGGCTGCAGGGCGTGTTCTGCTGTGACAGCGGCTGGTTGCTAAGGCTCGTCCATATCAGTGTTGGAGCAGCGTGTCTTCTCGGTGTGTTAGTGGCTGTTCTTCTCACAGAGACTCGGCTAATTCAGTTCATAAGGACTCAGCTCTTGCCCAAATACGGAAAGAAACACACTTAAAATGAAATGGAAATTGGTGGACTGAACTGGAAGAAAGCTTCTAACAAGAGCTGCTGATTGACACTTACTGACTGCGTGAAAGCATCAAGGGAACAACTTTTTTTAAACTGACTGTGTGTGTGTGTGTGTGTGTGTGTGTGTGTGTGTGTGTGTGTGTGTGTGTGTGTGTGTGTGTGTGTGTGTGTGTGTGTGTGTGTGTGTGTGTGTGTGTGTGTGTGTGTGTGTGTGTGTGTGTGTGTGTGTGTGTGTGTGGTGTGTGTGTGTGTGTGTGTGTGTGTGTGTGTGTGTGTGTGTGTGTGTGTGTGTGTGTGTGTGTGTGTGAGATCCTGTGTTGGCCCATTTAAATACAAATACAATACAAACATGTCATGATGATATATGTTGTATTAGATAATGCTGATCTACTTGAAATGAATGTATTTTTGAGAATGATGATTTTGTTAACGGAATATTGCCATATAGTAAAAAAAAAAAAAAAAACATTTATATTTGTGGTGTTGTAATTACTTATGAAGTAAAAACATGAAATGTTTAAGCTGTTAACAGCCCAAAGGTTGAATTTTTTTGGAAGTCTATTTTAAACTTAACATCCATTATTTTGCTCACATGCTTAGTTTTCGACAAGGTAAATAAGCAGGGGGACATCTGTTTCGAACTCCACTGACAAAGCATAATGGTACAAAACTATTATAATGTTGGTTAATCATTGTTTTGTGTTTAAACTGTGTGCTGACAATTTCATTGATACAAATATCTTCTGTAAGGGAATATGCACCAGCTTTTTGACATATTTGTACTTTATGAACCGTAGGTAGGTTTCAGTTCAGCCATTGTTTGACATGTTGCTTGGAAACACTTTTTGTTACTCGTTAATCCTTCCTTTGTACTTATGACCGCTGAAATAAGGGTCCCTGAGGGCTGAATAATGATGTAATTATGGAGAATGAGCAGGAAGGGGTGGGAACAACATTCTTCTCTGTGCTCGTTTTGTACATGTATTAACACTTGAGTCAGCCATGGTCTAACTTTATTGGGAAGCTTGATAGAAAGTTACTTATCTTTTGAGTCACACCTTTTGAACTTTGAGTCCAAATGGCTTGGCTTGCTAATTACCAGGTGGTGAATGTAGAGTGAGACATTGCCATATTCTTACATCATTGGGATTTATTTGAGGAAATGTAATGCCAAAAGTTGTAGCAGTGATCTCATCATTTCCTTTTGAAGCAGCAGGGAGGACAGCAGAAACATGAGAGAACACAGAGACAGAAAGGAGGAGGAGCGTATACACCTATTACGTCATGTATTAGTCTCAAGAACAGATTTATTGTCCTCTGGAGAATCACTGCTAGGGTGTGTATATATGCCAGTGTGTGTGTTGGGCTGGACTCACAAGAGAAAGAGAGAGAAAGCTGACAAGAGAGGATATTTTCTACAACTGCTCAACCAACATGTCTCAGGTAGGAGGACACTCTCTTATATTATTAAAGACTTTCTGCACAAGTCTCATATGTGTGATGTCTCATATTTGTACTCCTTCCAGCCAGGGCAGGAAGAAGATGAAATGCAGCGTCCTGAGGTGAGCGAAGAGGATCTGACTGAAACAATAAACAAACTTGGCAGAAGTGGGCCGGCGAAGAGCAAGACGACTGAAGTTATGCAGGAGTGCGGTGAGGACACACACCTAAACACCATGATAAACACACATGGAATCCTGATTTGACACTAGTCATACAGATGGAAAGCTTTCTGCATCTGGTTAAATCACACCATGGCAGTGAGTTTGTGCGAGGGGCGTTTCCTCATGATGCTGAAGTTTCCACTCCATATACAGAGAGAACAGGGGGGTTTAATGATGGGAGATTCCTTTCAAACAGTCTCCCAGTGGGATTTTGTGTGTGTGTGTGTGTGTGTGTGTGTGTGTGTGTGTGTGTGTGTGTGTGTGTGTGTGTGTGTGTGTGTGTGTGTGTGTGTGTGTGTGTGTGTGTGTGTGTGTGTGTGTGTGTGTGTGTGTGTGTGTGTGTGTGTGTGTGTGTGTCAGAGCATATCTACAAAATGACATTGCCCCTCTCTCTCCCACATTAACAATGAAATTGTTGTTTGTCCTTCTTCACAGAGAAAGTTGGTAAAGCAGCTCCCTCTGTGTTCAGTGGAGCGAGGTCAGGAACGGAGACTGTTCTCAACGCACGCTCAGGTCCACCAATAATCAGGAAGAAGCAGTAGGCTCCCTGACCATGATTGGACAACACATGTTTGGAATCTGTTGGTTTTCCAGCTGTGCTTTAGTCCACTAAAAGCCTCGGTAAAATACTCTTTTTTTTTGTGTTCTTCAATATCCTAAAGCCTGTGTTAAACACTTACAAAACACTTAATTATGTTTGGTTATGGAATGTGTATTATAGTGATAGTTAACTTCTTCAGTTGTTCAATATTTCTGCCTGAACTAATGAGAAAGCTAACAATTTTTCATCGTGTTTCTTTGTATAAACCAGACACACAGGAAGATTCTACTGGGTGGTCTATTCATTTCAAAAAAGAAATAAGATTAGTAAGAAAAAGTAGTGTTTTCCTACGGGACACACGGTGGCGGGTCTGGCGAGCTAAATGCTAACATTTGCTCTGATGACTTCATATCTGTCCAATTACTACAATCCTTCATGTTAAAAATATAAAGTTAAAAGACTAATTTTTGTCAAAAGTGTTGCAAAAAAAAAAGATTTTTAAAAATGTAATATGAGCCAATAGAAATACACAACTCAACATAACGGTCCTGTCATTTGTATTATATTTAAACAAATACATTGAAAAACTTGTTCCAATATACTAGTTTGTTTTCTTTATTTTTTATAACATAACGATTTTTTTCTTGCAGTTTTTGTCACAAAGCATTTATCTACTCTTTCCGGGTGCAGGGTAATAATGAGAAACACGAGCGAAACTGCAAGACTTTTTTTGGAAATCTGTTGTGACAAGACTTCCCATTCCGTCTCACCCATTCTACTTTTCATTGTAAGAAGTGCCAGCAATATTATAATTGTCCATTGATGTAATAAACCGTTCAAAAATATAAATGACAATGAGTTATTTTTTCTTTTTATTCCAAAAAATATTTTCATGAACGTACTGAGTGAATAAAACTTTATTAGAACAAAACTACTACAGTAGATGAGGCGGCAACTCTAGAATGAGCCATATGGAGGGTAAAGATTGAGAAAAAGCGTACAAAAGAATCAAAGCCAAACATTTAACAGCTGGATGAACACCAGCCCTTTGAGTCGTGAAAGAAAAAGATAATATTCTTAGTCTATTTCATGAATTTGTGATGTTGATCTTGGAGGATTTTGGCAGAAGACTTGGCGTCGTAGAACAGCTCGTTGATTTCCTCTATCTGCTCCCTCTCCACATTCTCTTTTCCCTGAACACGGCCCAGCAGGCTGGCTGGAGTCAGCAGCTGGGCAGCGTACCTGAGAGGAAACAGGAAGTAACAGTATGATCTCACATGCATATACAGTATAAGCCACTTCAAGGAGAAGTTGCAGGTCCTAAATGTACGATACTGAAAATAATGTATGATACTTAGCTGAAGGAGTTTCATCTGAATTTACCAGAACTACCAGTGGCACCCATAACTAACATTTAGAATAACTACTGTATATAGAAATTGTCAATCGTCTTGTTTACTTCAGAAGGCCATATAAAGGCATCAGAACTACACTGAGACTGTTTTATTAAGAGTCAAACGTTTCTTGAAGTATCTTTAAAAAAAATGTTTAGGTGAAAAAAAACATTATACCTTACTTGATAATTGCCTGTTCAGGTGTTAAAATAATTTTCTATGAAACCACTGTGGGCAATCAATGTAAAGCTGCCAACGTCTTCACTCCATTATGACACACTCTGCAAAGTTTAGTCTTACCTGAGGGTGGTCTTGGTGCCGATCTCTGCCAGGTGTGTAAGTGCTTCCTCGCTAACGGTGATCCCCTCAGTCTGAGAACGGATCTTGATGATCTACAAACCACAACATCATTAGTGACACCCTAAGAAATGTCAGAAGGCACCAAAAAAACTGTGATTTAGGGACAACAAATGTTGTTAGAAGTTTCCGGACATGCAAGTGATTGCCGGCCACTTCTCTTTGGAACAGCAATATTATGTTTTTATTAATAATCAGGGCTTTCAATTGAAAAACAGTCACTTTATGTATTAATTACTATTCCCAATATTTTATAAATGCCCCTATTGTTAGGGCAAAAGTCTCTACCCAAATGTTCTACACTGAACTGGAGGTACTTAGATGTCAAGACTCACCTGCTTCATCTCCTGTGATGTGTACAACATTGTGCGGATTATCATGACTCTGTCTAGCAAGTCAAGAGGAATCCCGTGTGGAGAGCAGATGTCCTCTGTCCCCCTGTTGAGAAACAAATCACTTTGAATACTACACATTTTACATCAAAAAAATATCATATCTGTTGTGTTTTAAAAATGTTGTTTCTTTCCACCTAAAACGCTTTAGACCTCCTACCTAATTAAACAGTTTCCTCTGTTGGAGGCAAACACAACGATAGGGGCGATGGTGCTCTCCAGCGCTCTGTGGAGGTATGTGAAGCATTCGATGTCCAGCATGTGCACCTCGTCCACAAACAGAACACCAGGAACCAGCTCAGCTACGCCCTGGTCGATGTAGCGGTTCACCACCTTGTTGATCTCATTACGAAGCTTATCTATAACCAGAAGAGAAAACGGTAATGAATCAAACACAAGTCAACTAGTCGTTAATCCAGCTGGGGATGTAGACTAGACTGTGAAGCGTTCAGGTTTCCTTTACCTGTGATTTCTGTCTTTTTTGGCTTCATCAGCTGTCCCATCATGGAGAGAATGTCCTGGCCTCCCTGAAATCCAACAGTAATTATTTGTAAACTTGTAGGGAATAGCTGTAAACTGGTACTATTTTGTTAATGTAAGCAGCTACAGTAAATGACAAGGCTTTTGCAGTAACATACCTGGGGTCTGGCATTTGCAATATCAAGGTCATGCAGTGTGACGTCTTGGACTATCTCCTTCTTTTTGTGGACATCACCTTTAGGCAGCGGCACATACTCCTCTGCCTCCAGGTCGAACTCTGTAGCAAAGGTGTCACAACGACCTTGTCTCTGTAAAGACACAGTATAACAATATGTATTAATAACATTAATTTACATTTGACCCACAGGGAGTAATGGCCACATTGCTCTGGACAGTGAAAGAAGAGAAGGAGCCAGAGCAGGTGTATGATTGAACCCAGTGCCAGGAGCAAGCTGAGGGATCAAAGGGCTTCAGAGGGCACGTCATGATACAGCTTTCAACAGTAACAAATGTGTGGTCCAGCCCTCCTGACTTGCGCTCCCTAGCCCACCTGCACCGACTAAAGGAGCCGTCATCGTGGCCTGTCAAAGAAGCATTGAGGGAGATGGAGAGATACAGGGAGCATGAAGAGCTGCAGGAATGAGAAAGGCTTGATTCAGAGTACAGGAGAAATGCAGCAGGGCTGAAAGAGATGAAAGGACACCACCATGAAGGACTGAAGAAGACAGGCAAGATGACAGAATACACTGACATTTGAATTGATCAAATATGTCGCAATATGTTGCATTTGTGACTTATCACTAAATTAAAGCATTGTATTTACATATCTTTCTACTTTTATAAAATGTGTGACAGTAGGGAGGGATGAACACGTGAAAGACATAAAAAATACCTTGACAGCTCCACTGTTTGCTTCAATGTAGATGACGTCTCCCTGTTCCACTCGCTCTTTCTGAAGACTCTCATAAATACTAGGGTCGAGCTAAGGAAACAAGACAAAACATTTTCATGTAAGAAACAGCTCCTTAACAACTGGTCAGTGTTGGGGACAACAATGGTTTAAAAATACTCTATACCACTGGAGGAAGAGAGAATAATATCAAACACAATCTGGTTGCAAGATGAATGTTATTGCTGATATATACAACTTAAACACATGTGCAAAGTACCTTAAAAAATGACAACGTACCATAAATGTATTTACTTTGACTAGGTTTATAAGTGCACCATCTCTTGTGTGCTTTAGATGCAGTAAATAGAAAAAAGAAAGGAAAGGATTACAGCTCCAGTCTGACCTTGAGCTGCTTCGTGCCTTTGCCCGTCTTCAGACCAATGATGACGTGGCTGATGGTTTTCCCGTAGCCGCCCATGGGATTCTCTGTCTCACAGGGGGTCAGCTCTGTCACCTCCCCTTCATACACCTCCTTTGTTTCTTTGATACGCAGTCCTGAATGTGGGCGACATTACAGTCACTCACAGGCGCAGTGCAGAGTGAGAGCTCAATCTGGTCTTTATATTCCTGTGTCAACTAAGCCGCCACTTCCTTCAGTCTACTGGAAAAAGCATTTTATTACAGAGAGGGAGCATGTGTGCGTGTGCCACTAATATGTATGAGCATCATCTTGTGTAATGTGATCCGAGTCTTGTTGCTCTTTCATGCAGACCGGCACGGAGTATGAGCAGCACACAGGTGGCTGATCTGCTGTGGGGAGGGTCACACAGCAAAGAGTAAGGCGAGGAGTGTCCGCTCTTATCAGCAGAGTGATGACAACTTCAAAATGAAACCCCCACCCCCCTCTGTATCCTGTTCTAGGGGAGGAGCAAAAGGTGCTGATGACCACCTCTCCCTCTACCTAAGCTCCATTTCCTACCCTGCGACAGGTACCATCAGCAGTCAGACCAACCCCGTCCCTTTATCCAGCCTTCCTTCCCAACAACATTCTCATAAATCCGCTCAAGTTCGCCTTTCAGCTGATGAGAACGGTGTGTGTTAGGACACCATGCTCTCTCTGAACAATGACTCTTCCCTGAAAGAATAAGTTAAACATACTGTATAAGGTTGTTTGACACCAAGAGAGGAAGAGTAAATTGAAAATAAATCTTGGTTAATCTGAGTGTAATCTAGTCATACTCTGTACGAAGTGGAGAGGTCAGGATAATCCATGGACCCTGCTGCGGTTTTAAATTAGACCTTTTTCGGCTAAGAGAAAGTCTGGTGATAAGATGACATCTGTTTATTATCTGCATTTTCCTTAATTTAAACATTTGCTTTAAGATGGCATTATTATTGCTTTTTATAAAATCTTTGCCCATATTTAAAAATTGCTCTTGTGTTCAGCCAATGAGACTTTTGATAGGCCCTGACAGATCAGGGTCTACCAAAACCTCAGTTCCAGTGACTGATTTGGGGGATATAAGTGATGACCAAGGAGCCAGTTCTTATTTAAGTGACACTCACCAATAGCTCTCCTGAAATTCTCCATCAATACTTCTGTTTTTTTAATCTCTGTCGAGTAGACTTCACTGCCAACCATGGGACAGAAAGGCACCTTGTTTCCCAACTCCTGTGCCATAGCCAACGCGAGGGCAGTCTGGAGGATCAAATAAAAAAAGAGTCAGCATCTGCAGCAACAAGAGGCAACATTAAACTAAGCAATACTGCTCTATTGCATCCCACAGGTCACAAGACTGTTAAACACCTGAACTTTTGAAAGTACATCCATAACATTTATCTGTTTGCAACTCATATATATCAATATTCTAATTACTGTATATAGACTATTCTGCACTTTCTATTCTATTCTATTTTTATTTTATTTACCTGTACTATTTTATCTGTTTATTGTGTTGCACTGTTGGAGGAGCCTGTGACCTAATATTTTCATTGTCATAACTACACTGTAGCTATGCACAAATGACAATAAAAGCCTTGAAACTATTGCCATTGAAGGAACACTACACACTTACCTTTCCTGTACCAGGTGGCCCTGCCAGTAACACTGCCCTTCCAGACATCTTCTTTGAACGGATCAGATCGACAATGATTCCACAAGCCTGGAGAGTGGAAACAATTAAACATAATGAATATAGACATCCAATGGAAAACAGGAATTGAATGTAATAAAAGTAGCTGGTTGTGGGATACCCAGTCTGAGTCAAGTTACAATTTAATTCAAAGCTGATAGCTTTTAGATACTATATACTCAAATGTCTGCTTTGTCCCCAAAGTACAATAAACCCCTGGCCAATCTATCCATCTGTGATACTATATTTTAGACAGCATTGCATCCCTAAGAAGTCAGGTGTCTCCTTAGACTGGAAATCAGAACATCAAGATGACTAGATTTATATATCTGTTGACAACTTGTGAATATGCTCTTTATAGAAATAGAATATGTACTTATTAATAGTACATGCATTCTCTTACAATAAAATATGAATGTGATTTATATTTAAGGTGCTTTCCCTTTAGCTCACCTCTGACCTTAGTGTGAAACAGCGACACCACAGTGCTAACGGAACTAGCTTGGTGGTGCACCTGCCTGCTATTAGCAAAATCATTGCTGCAAAATATCCTCAGCTCTTAGTGGCGGTCCACTAAACAATACAAGAGTAAAGCGAGTGCAATGAAACATGAACATTACCTCTCTTGCAGCCTCCTGGCCGACCAGACCACATGCTGACTGTTTAGCATTCCCGGCCTCGTCTAGCCCCAGTCCCTTGACGTGACTGTGAGTGGCGATCCGCTGAGTTTTAGTGGTGCTTTTTACCTCTTCGATCTTCATAGTTACTGTTACTTTACAAATATGAGGAGTAAAAACGGTAAGGCTGGTTTACTGCGAATCAAATACCCCCCGTGAGTCAGGTAATTCTCACTGCTGCAATCGGCGCCGAAACTCAAAACACAGGGAAATTGGTTTCCATGTGGGTAACTAGGGAGAATTAGCGGAAGTGATACCCTGAAGTCCCGCCCAACTCTGTCAAGTAAAACTATTGGCTGCTGTCGGCTGACGCGACACATTCATTGGCTGTAATCCACGCCAATCATTGTCATCGACATTTTCATTTCCGCTTGTGTTTCACTTGCTTTTGTCGTAGTAGAAACTGCTAGAAACTTGTCAAAGTGTAAATAAGAGTCTCGAATGAAAGCAGAACTTATTGATAGAGGGGATTCATCACACCATTGACATTGTACATTGAAGTTCTAATGAAGTGTATTTTATGTCAGGTCAGTTAACCGCTGTTTTATATTTGTTTGCTCCTGAACACAACCGTTCCGCTTTAGCATGTTGTCTCGAGTACGGAGAGCACTGACAACGAGGAAGACGTTTATCTCATGTGTTTTAATGCTAAAGTAACTTTAAAGTCTTTTTTATAGCTGTAGATGTTTTGTAATTACAAAAGCGTGTTGTTGAAGGTGTTTTATGTGTGTCAACAAATGAAAAGACAGCAAATAACTCAGTTTTACGCTGGAGCTGAGTTCAAGGTCCAGCTCGGAGTAAACAACATTCGCAAGCCGGTTAACATTACATCCAACTGGTGTAGAAATGTCAGAGTCGGCTGACAGTCGGACAAAAACGTTGAATTTCAACGTTGGGGTTCTCGGACATGTCGACAGCGGGAAGACATCGCTCGCCAGGTCGCTGAGCAGCACCGCCTCCACGGCTGCCTTCGACAAGAACCCGCAGTCCCGGGAGAGAGGCATCACGCTTGACCTCGGCTTCTCCTCCTTCACGGTGGAGCTTCCCGACCACCTGCGGGACAGCGAAGGCCAGAAGCAGTATGACAATCTGCAGTTTACCCTGGTGGATTGTCCGGGACACGCCTCTCTTATTCGGACTATCATTGGGGGTGAGCTCTCTGAATTCTCTGCAAGTGTGTTGGTGCTAGATGTCACTCATGTTGTGGGATGTAACTATGTGCAGTCACACAAGAACTGTACAGTACAAATGTATGGTGCTTTACTTGAGCCTTTTATTTCAATGCTACTTTATACTTCTACTTTGTTACTAGTTAGTTTATAGATTACGATGTTGTTGTACATTCAACTACACTACCTAACATCGTACATCGTTAGTCATATAATCGACTAGCTGTTTGACAGAAAATACTATTTTCATTGTGTTCTACATTGACCACTTTTACTTTGAAGTCTTTAAGTACATTAGTACATTTTTACATGCAGTCGTGGTGACAGTAGCATTCTGCTTACACTACATCCTCCTCACTGTTATCACACACACATGAACCTATCCAGCAGAGGGAGTCTTTTCTCTTCCAGCATCTGGGTTGATCCTGCTATGTTGACTTAGATGTTGGGATTGTTAGAAATAACTACAGTGGGTTCAAGAGCAGATAATGAGAACGCTAACTCAGAGGGACACTTTCTCTATTACCTGCTTTCTCTATTAGTCCCCAATATGTGTCCCTATGAATGAATAAGCAGACTTTTTAAAACCTAAAGAGTGTAATATACACAGACTCTGATATAAGTAAGTCTTGGTAATAAATCAGACTAAATGCACTTAATAAAAACTGCTGTGCAGGGTTACAACATTCTAAATTAAATCAATGAGCCAGTGGGGTGGCACATGCTGTAGATTAGGGAGGAAGGAAAGTGTGGGGATTGGGGTATGCATTAAACTTCCCCTTCTGTCCCAAGTGGGGAGAGCACAGGAAAGAGAGGGAGCCAAATAGAAGGAGAGAAAAGAGGAGAACACAGGAAAGAGAGTGTGCCAAACTCAGGAAAAGAAAAAAGGGAAAGGAAAGACAACCAAGTGAGCTGCAGCTCTGGTTTCAACCCTCTAGCCGTTTTCATCTCTTTGCTTCAGTGCACCCCTCCCCTAATTTCTCTTCTTGTTCAACTGTTATTTTTAGGTATCTATATCCATTCCTGTTTATATTGCTGTTGTCGGCTTCATAGTCTCTACTCACAGTTCCTACATAGCTGCTTGCGGCTTTTCATCCAAGTCAGTTATATCTTACATCCTATTGATGATTGTTTTTTCATTTTCTGCCTTCTCTAGGTGCCCAAATCATTGACCTGATGATGCTGGTGGTGGATGTGGTGAAAGGCGTGCAGACTCAGACTGCAGAGTGTCTGCTGATAGGAGAGCTGACCTGCCCTCGCATGGTGGTTGTTCTCAACAAGATCGACCTGCTGCCTCCCAACAAAAGACAGAGTGCCATTGAGAAAATGACCAAGAGGCTGCACAAAACTCTGGAGAACACCAGGTCGGCATTTATGCAAGTTTAATAATATGGTGGGGAATTCTGTGGAAGTGTGGGTTATGGCATCCCGCGTACTCCCGGTGGCCGGCAGGACTGAATCTCTGTCAGACTTCCTCACTCATTACACATTCTGTCTCCCTGCCTGCATTCCAGCGTCTGTCTGTCAGACCCACTTGTTTCTTATTCAAAGAAACTTTATCCATTACTTCAACATCAAAGCATGAAATATTTTCAATACAACTGTTTTTCTGTTGGCCAGATTTAAGGAATGTCCAGTGATTGCTGTGGCAGCGAAGCCTGGGGGCCCGGAGGCTCCTGACACAGAGGAGCCACAAGCAGTGCCAGAGTTAATAGAGGTAAAGTCCGGAAACACACTCGTCCCCCTCCATTGTTACTCATTTAGCTCAAAAGTGCACATAAGTTCTCACTTATGCACTTAAGAACAAGTGCTGCGATGTCAGATGTCATTGTCAATTGGTGATAAAATGCTTAAGAAAATCCTCAGATGAAAAAACATAATAGATTATTTGTTCAATCAACAAAGTAAACACTGAAAGTAAAAAATGGCGGTGGTTAAAGGCAAACTGTTAATCCCTGTATTTGTTGTTTTATATATCATATCATATATAATATATTCATATTCTCTTTATGAAATGATACTAAAGCACCCAAACTAAAATAAAGAAAAAACATTTAAAATCGTGTACCCTTGCAGAATAATGACAGTGGTTATCTTTTGTGTGATCAAATATATTTTTCTTCTTGCCCTCTTGGTGCTCTGTATCAGCTTTTGAAGAAACAGACGTACCTCCCCCAGAGAGACCCCAAAGGTGACCTCCTGATGGCTGTGGACCATTGCTTCTCTATCCGTGGTCAGGGAACAGTCATGACAGGCACCATCCTGCAGGGGTCGCTGGCCATCAATGACACTGTGGAAATCCCAGCACTAAAGGTATGTTTATAAAACTTGGACATGAATTCTGAATCTCTGATATTTACAAGCAGGTAACTGAGTGCTGGAAATTCTTTCGATAAACCACAGAGATTGGGAAGTTGAGGAGTTGAGTGGAAGTGGGCAGACTGAGGGAGGGATGTCCGAGTGGGTGCAGAGGATGTGTCAGTTTAATGTGAGGAGAGGATGAGGGGACTGGGTGGATTTGGCGGCCCAGGAGTTTGGTAATTCAGAGCAGATGCACACCATCAGCCAGGCTCAGAAAACTGTGTCTGCAGTTTTCACGTTCACCTCTTGGTGGCAGCAAATGGCTAAACTAGCAGTCATTTGATATCGAGCCTTAACCTGTGCAGATACCGCTGTGTTGGTCAGTGTTTGATGGACAGCAAAAACAAACAGAAAATGTGTTGGTATGCCGAATACCCAAGTCATAGTTGGAACGATAAACATGTAGCAGGACAGATAACTTTAAATCGTTCATTCGTAAAAGGGATTAGTTTGTGGATGTACAGTAAAAAAAAACTTTAATTAAGTTAACAAAACTTGACATAAATATATTTTTAAAGACCAATTTGATCAAAACAATATGTGCATTTATGGGTAATGCAGTATTTTGAAATGTAGCTCTGTAATATTTTAAAGAAAGAAGTAGCTTAACTGCTAGCGGTCCATATTTAATTAGGTGTACACTTAAGTATGTGCATTTCATTTCAAAAACCCTCTTAAGGACCTTTTCCTTTAAATATATTATAAAACATCTCTGTACAGTGGAGATACTTTCATATCACTTTCTATGAAAGTCATTACTCATGGTCTACACAAAAAGACAACTGCTTAAAGTGTCCAATGTTTTGTTTTATAATAATTGCCATGAGTGGAATAAAACTGATAAATTAATAAATAAATATAACATATCTTATAATATGAATCTATGCAGTATCATTGTATGTGTTAAAACAGTATAGTACATATTTATGTTTATACTCATCATTTCATTTTATTGTTGGTGGTAAATGGTATACGGTTCTACTTTAGAAATGTATCTTTAAGGTATAAAGAAACAATATGATGCATGCAAAGTAAGAAAAGGAACAAATACATATTGTTAAACTTGCTTTTCTATCATGATTGATTATGTCATTTTTATACATTAAAGGTACAGTTCACAGGATCAACATTGTTGTTGTTGATGTGAGTTGCAGGGTTTGAAATACCGGCCGTGCAGGTCTGCTTTCACTTGTTAGAAGTACATTGGTTCAAAGCACCCACAAATACATAAGAGAAGCTTCCCAGGAAAATATGAATATGTCATTTAAGGGTGAGCTGTCCCCTTTTTAAGGGTTTTATTGCTAAAGAAGACAGACATTAGTCACTGATGATGCAGCATAAATGCTTTTAAATGAATGAAAATACATCGCTCTTTACCCGCCTCTAACAATGAAACATTATGATTAAGCATGCATTATTATTGATGCATCAATATGTATTTATTTTTTGACAATGGATGTTGCACCATAGATGCAGTGTATCGTAAGTGTAATCAAAAAGCATAATACATGCACGCTAATCCACTCTAAAGAGATGTGGTCTTCATTGAAATTTAAATAACTGTTATTCAGTTATTTCATCTTATGCGGAATTCCATGATATAGTTTCTACGTTTTCAATTTAAAATGTAAAGAATTCAAACCAAAAATAACAGAAAAACACTTGCACTTTTAGCAGCTTTAATGTAACATACTTTAAATCTTTCTCTGAGTTTTGTTGGAAATCTGTGTGTTGATTATGAAATATATTATTATTTATTATATTTCTATGCTCTCTGACATCAGGTGACCAAGAAGATAAAGTCGGTGCAGATGTTTCGGAGACCGGTGTCGGGGGCCATGCAGGGGGATCGTGTGGGTGTGTGCGTGACACAGTTTGACCCCAAACTGTTAGAGCGGGGTGTGGTGTGCACCCCAGGGTCCCTGCGCACCCTCTATGCAGCTCTCATCTCTGTGAGGAAGATCGGCTACTTCAAGGGCTCTCTATCCACCCGAGCCAAGTTCCACATCACCGTGGGCCATGAGACAGTCATGGCGAGGGTTACCTTCTTTGGCTTGCCACCCGTGGGTGCCTCAGAGCCCCCCTCAGTCACTAACCAACCTCCATCACAGCCCTGCCCGCTGGATACACCCTTCACCTTCGAGAGGGAGTACTTCCACCAGGATGAATATGTCATCGCTCAGGGAGAGGCGAGTCCAGGGTGTGACCCAGAGCAATGGGCCCTGTTGGAGTTTGAGCGGCCAGTCACATGCCCCTTACTCTGCCTGGTGATTGGCTCAAAGCTGGACACAGACATTCACGCCAATGCATGCCGCTTGGCCTTCCAAGGCCGTCTCCTCCAAGGGTTTGAAGATAAAGGCTATGCCGAGTCTGCTCTGCCTCGCCTGCGCATCTTCAAGACCAAACACAAGGAGGGCCAGGTGGAACGGGTGAGTTGAACTCTAAGACGTTTATTTAAATGGTTTTTTTCCTTACTTTCCTCTCTCCTTACCCCGGAGGGTTGCCCGTGCCCCTCTACCCTTTCTATCGCCTTGTAGTGCTCTGGTTCTTCTTTGGATGTTTGTCATTGCTGGTGTCAATGGAGCGTGCCTCTCAGACAGAGCCCCTATTGCACAGTCATAAACAGGCACACACAAACAACACGCCGGCCTTGTGATCACAGTTTGAGGCATGAATGTGTATGCATGCCTTAGCATGTGCTTTGAGACAGAGGTGTGCGTGGGTGGCAGACTGACGCCACTCGTCCTGTCTAGCGGTTAGACGTTGGCACTGTTTGGACACACCTGAGCGGCGGTATCAGGAATAACCACATGACTGTGTGAGTGAGTCCATCAGACTCAGCGTTTTCTCTCTCTCTACACACGCCGTTGTTCTTGTTTTACTGCTGTCACGCTCCATCCTCAATCCTGAGCTCCAGTTCATACCGATCCATATCTCATCTAATCTAATGCTGTTGTTTTCTTCTGGAAATCAACATTAGATATAAGAGTTTTTCAATGTGTTATAACTCTCTAACTCCTCACAGTTTATGTTTTTGTTATGACTCGTCATACTGCACTGTACAGTTAAAGTTTTCTGTGTGCCCTCGTGCAGGGTCAGACTCAGGTCAGGGGTCAAGTGTATGAACTAGTTTCCTGCTGTTAGCACCTCAGGCTGTTGACAGCTCCAGTCAGTGACTCAGGAGTCAAACAGCGTGTGAGAAGAGGTCAGTCCTTGGTCATGTAAAGTTACATGTGTACTTCATCTGTCTCTCAGAAAGAGCCAGTTATGTTTCTAGACTTTGAGTAAAAGAACACATTCTGGCATTGTTGAGATATGACGGGCTCATACAGTCACAATTCATACGGTCTGTCGGACATGTACAGCAACAGTATTTTTTTTATCAGCGCATCAGTCATGCTTGAGGGATGTCGGGGTCAAATGTTCAAGAATGAATGAGGGTTAGGCAGAAGAGAGAGGAAGAGCCGGCGCGAGGGGGTGAGTCGGAGACAGAGCGGTGCCCTCATGTTATCAGATTAGTGGCGGGTAAGATCGACTTAGTGATGGATGATAAGAAAGAAATACAAACAAATATAGCATAAAATGTGCAGGGGGGATGAAAGAGAGGATGCCAGACATCCAGGCGGCGAGCTTCGAGGAATGCGGCTTGCGGCGAATGGTGCAGTTGAGGAGGACACAGGACTGAAGATCAGCTCTTCTTCCTCACTCTGCCATGCTGACACAGTGAAATCATGACAACCCACAAGACCCAGATTAGAGGAAGGAAATATGAGATCAAACTAAAGCACATCCTGACATTTTCACAGCTCTGATTAGATCACATGCTTCCACACCATTTGAAGTACTTCTAATCACTTTATCTGTCATTAGTCCTGCAGCTCATGGAGCGCTCTTCCTCTCTGTTGTGTTCAGGTGACCGATGATTACACTGTGATTGGCCGCAACCTGTTCAAGAAGGAGACCAACCTCCAGCTCTTCATCGGGTTAAAGGTCACACTGTCAACGGGCGAGACTGGTGTCATCGAGGGTGGGTTTGGACAGAGCGGGAAGTTCAAGATTCGAGTGCAAGGTAAGAACAACCTCAGGTGAGACTTGACACCACCAATCACACTACTGTAGCTCCTGACACTGTTTAATGCAGGCTGTGTCATGCAAAGCAATCTACTGTGACTTTGATGATGTTGCATAGCCTCCCTCTTCAGCAAGACTCGCACCGAGAGCACTTCCTCTATCTTTCCTTGGACGTTGGGGGCTCTGCGGACAGTCTTTCAGGATGCGGTAAGAGTGGTAGGCCCGACATCCTGAGCCACATTCCCAGAATTCCTCCGGGGATTGCCTTGTGTTCCGGGGGAAGTCTGTTCCGTGTTTATTTTACCTTCTGTTGCTTCGGACCCACTGCTCCGCACCGGGAGGGAAGAGAAAACAAAAACATTTAGAAAGAGAACCTCACCTACATCCTTTTCACTGACTCACATACTCAAAAGTCTTAAACATACTAACACACGCATCGTCACACATGGACATGGGGTTAGTCGATTTGACAAAAACGTGAACATACTTTTTTTATGTCAGGTTACAGATGTCACATATCACAATGTAGTTCTTATTATTATAATTATTATCTTATTATTATTCTGTAAATTAATTTGAGGCTAACAAACACATTTTATACTTTGTTTTATATTGAACGTCCATAAAAACAAACAAAAAACCCAGCTTACGTAAAACAACACTAAAATATTTTGGGATTTTAGATTTGGGCTTCCTGAAAACAAAGTATAATTTCCAGTGCTACAGAATTGAACGTTAACTACAAATAAATAACAACCTGACGTTACAATGTGCAGTATAAAACTCACACAATGTGTAACAGGATATGCTCTATTTTTATTTCAAAACGCGCTGTCAAAGAAACTCCAGTGTGCGTCTGGTAATAGAGTTCCTCCTCATCATGAGTTGGTTGGGATGTCTCCTCCTGCTCTGTATCAACCTCTCTCATGTCTGCCCATCGTGAATCAGCAAGATTTTGAAATCATGCGACAATAGATACCCCTGTGGAAACTGTGTTGCCTAATCTGGTGGACACATTTACACCCTTTCACAGTACTTACTCTCATATCGCCCAACACTATATAAACATAACACCTCATAGTTTCTCCTTTTTGGGGCAAAAATAGGTGAAATGATGGCAATATATCCTACAATACCTTTCACCGACGTCAATGTCATAATGTCTTACAGTAGGTGCAGCTAACCTTTACTGCTGGCATTTTAACTCTGAAGTTTTGCTTTCTGGCAGTTAGACATTTTTAAAGCTTTACAATTTCTTTACTTCTCAAATGTATGTGCTTTTCCTTTAAATATATATAAATACATAATTTGTCTTTGCATGACTTGTTGCTAATTGTCAGTACCCGTTTCTGTTGACTTCCCGTTGCTCTATCCAATTCTCTTTTACTTGCAGTCTTTTAATAAGGATGCTTACATAAGGTTGAAGGCTTTCATGCAGACTTACTTGATTTTCTGTCACTCTGCTCATATCTGCATTATTTCTGCTTTTCTCTATTATTCAATTAAAATGGTTTGGTCCACAAATGTTCATCAACATTTCCTTCAGCTTAAGGGGATACCATTACCATTGTTTGACCCAAAAAATAAAAGAAAGAAATCCCCAAAAATGTATAGGGACAGTAAGATTATCAGGCCCTCCTCTTCTCTGTTTTAAACCTGGTATGATATTGCTCCTCCAAAATAAACCTTCTGCCAACTTGGCCACTTAATTAATCAACGCCATTTTATAACCATAGTTGGCTCGTATATTTTGGACACTGCCTTGAGTGTGCCTCTAATCAAATGCTCAATGCTACAAATGCACTTAACTTGATTATCATGCTTTAGGCAGAGTCCCGTTCCATTTTTAAATATGAACAGTATTCTTGTTATGTAAGAAAACTGAGACATTTCTTTATATAAATATTAACAGGGCTCTTACGGTCATTAAAAACCTGGAAAAGTCATGGAAATTCAAAATGCAAATTCCAGGCCCTGGAAAAGTTTGCAAAACAATATTTTTCCCAAAGTTTTGGAAAAGTCATGGAAATGTAACTAAAGTTGCATCAAATATAATTTATATTTGATCTAATCGCCGAAATAGTAATACTATAATGATAATAAATACTGTATCGCATAGTAATGAAACGTAAAATGGCATTTAACTGTCGAGGTATTTTGCTGGTGAGAGATTTTAGTTGCTTTAGCGTGTAGAAGCTAGTAAGCCTATTTGATTTGTTTTAGATAGGCACAACATGTTTCATATGCAGACCTTATTTTCCTGTTCCATGTTAAAATCAACAATTTTCAGTGGTACCGCTGAGAAAGAGTAATTATTTTGGTCATGGAAAAGTCATTGAAAATCATTGGTGAAAAAGTGTATGAACCCTGTATTAAGTAATTTATTTGAGGACAAACGTGTAAAGGTGAACTTGTTATCACTTGTATCTGAACACGCATCATTTAAGTTTGGGTGTGTGAGTGTGTTCCGTGGTGGTAAGCGGACATTGTCAGCTGATGGTAGATAACAAGAAGAGATTTCTGTCTGCGCGGCAACCATAACAACCCTCACATTGGCATAACGATAACAAGAAGAATGCTGGCGCCATTGTGCGTGACGTCAAACAGCCAGCGTGTAAAGGAGTCTACCCAGAACATGTCTAACTTTCCGTGTGCAAAACTGCAAACAAAGACAAGAGAGTGTGATAGCAGGAACATGTAGAGCTCAGTGTTCACAGGGAACAGCTCAGTGGGGCTGAGAAGGAGGAGGAGAGTCAGGAGGAGCCAGACTAACGCAGATATTTGAGGAGACCTCTGCACATTTTCATCCGTTACATCAGGAGGATGAAGGCATCAGTTGAACTCGAGGTCAGCACACCGAACAGGCTCCACTGATACAGCGCCTAGCCTCTGCACACATAACAGGGAAGAAAAGATCAGTATCAAGCATCAGATATACGTACAGAGATGGCCTAAATACTGCACATAGTGTAGGACAGTTATAATCTAGATGTATTACATATGGGGATTTGTTTATTCAACGATTGTTTTTTGTATAATCAACCTTTTTACGTGACCTGCCTGTTTATCTTTTCTTCAGAGGGTCTCTGCCCAGAAACCAAGCAGTTGTTATCCTCCACCTCTAAGAAGAAAGGGAAGGGTGGGAGCAAAGGAGGAGCAGCAAATGAAGAGGAACCCAAAACTGATTCCCAGCCTGTCAGCATTCACTTGCATTTCAAGCGGTATGTCTTCGATCCCCATAAAAAGATGGTCCAGTCTTGACCGGTGTTGCCCCCACTTCAGCCTGTCATGGTGTCCTAGTGCTTCAGACAGGGCCGTCCCAGAGGTCATGTAGAGGTGAAGGGAATACTGGCCTCTGTATCAGGGGTATGATCATTTTCTTGTGATGGCGACAGTCTGCTGAAATGCAATGATTGTGGAATGCTGAACGCATGTGAAACCATTTTCTTTTTGTCTCCCTTCATGGAGATGGACTTAATCCAGTTTGCTTCATCACAAGGGTGGAAGCAGCTTTTTTGTTCCCGATGCTTTTGAGTTGTCTTAACCAATCAGTACTGTTTTGTCTGAATCAATTCTTTTGACTTGCAGCAAACTTCTTTTTCATTATGTTTCTGATTTCGCTGAGCCTTGATTGGCAAAAACACATCAGCTAGAATTACAGAAATACTTACTCAAGGATTTCCACAGGTCACTGCACTCGCTTCTTGCTCTCTGGCTGGGATAAAGGTCATGTTTTATTTTGGGTTTTATTGACTGTGTGATTTCAAAAGGATTTGTTCGTATTGCAATATTTCCCTTTGTCATTTCATTTGACTTTATTGACAGTTTGTAGAGCCTTATTTGGCCGAGGATAGAGGTTATCCCAGTCTAGAAGTTTCTTAAGATGAATGAGTGCTTTCAGAAAAAACGAATAAAGCAAAACCTTTGCTATAAATGTGTTTCTGACTGATATTTTCTGTGTGAACATTGATATTGCATAATAAAACTTTAAAAATGGACGAGATACTTGTGGCCCAAACCCCACAAAAACCCCAAAACAGTGTTTATGTACAAAATATATACTTTTTAAATATGAAGCACTCCAGCAAGCTGCAGTTTGTTGGTGCAGTACCAACAGCAGTCAAAATAGATACTATTCCCATTCATAGTGAACCCCAAACTTTAATGTGTGTCTAACCTGCGGTTCTCTCTGTTTAGTTTATGCTGTCATCTGTACTTTACAGCATAATGGGCACATTTTAAGAGAGTTATGCACACTTACACTCTTTCCAGAATCAATTCGATACATAAACAATCCCAACGGTAACTAATATCCATAAGAAGTGAACTGAGGCATGCTGTTAGAAACTACTGAATGATATTACGCTGGCCTGCGAAGCATGATCAATACATGGTCTTAGAAAAATAATCTCTGGTAATTGTGTACTTTTTGTGTAATATATAATCATTTTGTCACTGGATTTGAAGTGGCTATAAAAAAGTAAATAAATATAAATGAAGCGTACACTGGAGTATTAAGAGATTGATGCTGTTTTATGTACACGTGACATCCTCTTGTTTTGCAAATGTTCTCATTTACCATGTATGAATCAGTAAAAAATGAAAAAACTGTTATAGTAACAAAACATTTAAGAATGAAAATACATATCGTGGGTGGTTGATGGTGCTATTCATCAGCCAGTCCTATCCTGTGTCAGTGTGTTGTGTATGTGTGTGTCCATCCTGTCTCAGAAGTGTCGTGGGGCGGTGCAGTGAGAGTGCAGGACGCTCGGTATGTAGCGGATGATGTCAGCAAACTGTCCCTGCGAACAGCGACTCTATCTTAGCAGGAATCTGTGGAAATTGGAGAGAGAGGGAGGAGCCGCAGGAGCAAGAGGGGACACTGGAAGGATTGTTCCTCTGAGTGACAGTCCTTTTAGTCTTATCTCCTCTCGTTCCTCTTATAGAAAACCAGACAGGGAAAAAAATGATTTAGCTTTTTACTCTTATGTCTTTCCAATTTCTCTTTCCCGCTCTTTCATTCTCCATCCATTCTACTTTTTATTTAAAACCTTTTCCTCTGCCCATTCCTGGCCTGACGTCTCTTCATGAGACAATCATAGAAATCATCTTTTAGGCTCCTAAATATTTAACTTAATGTCATAATTTCACAGGTAGAATAATACCATGCACATATATATATATATATGATTGAATTGCTGCAATACAGTCAGTTGGAGTATTTTAGATCTAAAAAAAACAATGTATTCATTTAATAAGCATCATATCAAATATCTAAGAAGAATCTTTATGTTAAAACTAAAATATTTCATACACACTTATTTGAAAAAATATCATGAGTTCTTTCTTGATATAACTGTAAACACTGAATCAATTTGCCAATGAGTCTCGTAAGAAGATGAAGATTTTCCACCGCCTTGTCTGATAAAGATCCTCTCACGTTTCATTAACACAAAGGCTGTGTACCGCGTTTCCCCACTATGTTTTAACATGCATGCAAATCCTGTTGTGTCTGTGTGACAGTGTGTGTGTGGGGAGAGAGAGACACCACAGTCTCCGAGCTTAGGTGAGTTCATAAGCTGCTTTTAGAGCCGTAGCTGATTGTGGCAGGAGGCTAAAGACAGGAAGGCTATGGGACTGCATCTGGGAGTGTGTTCTCACCTCAACGCACACACACACACACACACACACACACACTGTCACCAAGCCAGGGCAAGAGGTTTATACCTGACATGGGAACGTGATCACACACACCTGCTGTTCCTCATGCTCATCTTGACCTGCGTTTATGGCTTGATTCAAATAATTCCCCATAAGACTCCATATATTCTCCTTTTAAAAATGGCTCCTCTTTCACTCCAGAGATAAGACACAGCCGTGATTATTTCCCTCCAATACCCCTGTTCCCTTTTTGCTGGTGACCACCAGGTCAGCCGGGAGTCGAGGGTCAACATTTGAGCTCCCGAATGTTTATAGATGTGAAACGGTCGCTGATGAACAGAGATAACAGGCAGAAAGAAACAGAGGGAAGGGAACAGAGGCAGGATTATTGACAGGGAGAAGGAGGAGGGCAAGAATAGAGTTTAAATTGTGGTTCAAGGCAGAAGAGATTGAAAAGACTAATTAGAAGCCGTTTGACTGATAAATGGGTGGAACATTAATTAACAATTTAACCAGTGGGGAGATGGTTAGGCTGCTAACATGCTCTCATCACTAAAATATATTCCTGTCTTACTTCAGACTATTATATTCACAGTTTGTATTGTTTGATGGCATATTTGTCTCACATGAAAGGACCTTGAGAAGTACTCTTTTTCTTCCTTTTTGTGTGGTTGATCTCTTACCAGCTATGTTAGGTGTTAGTCTTTACTATACCAGTTGTAACAGTATCACCTCGGACATAGATTATGTTTATTGCTGATTATATGATGACAGAAGCTGTATCAGACAGCTCCACCGTGCTAATGAGCACAGACGCAGATAGAATCACCCTCAGCCCCCTCGCTCCTCTCAACCCTCGCCTGCAAATATAATTAGCTATGATTAAAAAGGGCATTGTTTAATTAATACCGCCACAGCCTCTTTCAGGCGCCTCCTCCATTTCCGGCGCTGCTTATCTCCTACCCCACCCCCCATCAGCTGTGAAAGTCTTTAAAAAAAAAATGCCTTTTATAAATCGTGGTCGTAAATACAGGCCTGCCAATAACACCTTTATTGATGTGCAATGTCAGACTTGCTTTCACTGTTGCTGAAATGTTTTTTTAGTTTGTTAGATCATCAAAAATATAAGTGTCTTGCATTCAAAGTAATCATTAAGTTTTAGCAACAAAGTGACTTTAATGATACTACTCTTATTTATTGATGCCTTATTGTGTGCGTGCAGTGTAGCTGGTCAGGTTGTTGCTTATAGTTATTGTAACTCCTATTGGATAGAATAATCGTAGCCAGCACACAATTCAGAAAATGTGAATAAATAAATTCAATTTACAAACCATTTTTTAAACTATTGAACTTAAACCAAAATATCATTTAACACACACGCAGTTTTGAGAGAAAAACATTTTATGCCGTTTAAATAAAATGTATTTTGGCTTCATTGTCAGATAGCACTTGCTGCTAACGTCTTTCTGCGTTCTGTGGGTTTGCATTTATATTATCAGACTGCACAGTCAGACATGGATTGTAGATCTGCTTATACAAATAATATCGAGACAAATCTCCATCTGTCTCACTTAGCTGTGGTATTACAGCGTTAATAGAGTTAGTTATAATCTGACTATTTAAATTGCAAATGAACTTGTCTCTCTATGGCATTGTTCACATTTCTGAATGAACCTATTTTTAATATCAGTGCAGATTCTTTGAGTCAAAGTGTGTCAGTTAGTTTTAGACAAAACCACTGTATTGTTTGCACTTCTGTTCTAGTCTCATTTACGCAGACAAAAAAAATGCTAATTAGTGCTGGCACCTCAATAAAAGCAATGTATTGATATTCTGCTTTCATACCCTGAAACACACACACACACACACACACACACACACACACACACACACACACACACACACACACACACACACACACACACACACACACACACACACTGTTTTTTTGTTCTCACTGCTGCTGTCAACCTCTCATCTCTCTCCTCGTCACCTCAGGACAGTCAGTGAAAGGCCGAGGCTGATGGGGGAAGAATAGCGATCATTACAGCTGAGCTCAGCAGAGTCCAGATGTTCAGGTCAGAGGTCGCCTGCAGCATCACCTTAAAAAATGTCTGCCTGTACCCTGTCACTCACGTTCACATACTGTAGAGAAGAGGAGGAGGCAGAGATAAATGTTCACACTAGCGAAATAGTGAGGAAGCACCTCCTACAGCCTCCCTTTATTTATTATTCTACTACACCAGGTAATAACACATCCTTTTTACTCCCATGAAATAGAACAAAGAAATACACACTACAGAAAACAAAGAAAAGTACATGCTTAAATTATCAAACAAGCCAAGTCGTATGTTATAAATTACTCTGTTCTCTATTTTTATTTAATGAAGTGGACAGTTATGTCATATTACACACTGATAGTCACTTATCTAATGGCCAATAATCCCTTATAACTATTAAAACTATCTGAATGTAAATTAAGTTAAACATTACATCCCAGATAACACATGCCAACATCATTGAAGTCTTTCAAAATGTGTTTTTTTCCCAAGCAAATTGAAATTTTCTGCAAAACGATAGGATTCAGTTGATTTTACTTATACTCTCTTAGTCTGAATTTTTGTCAAGATTGCGTTCAGCTCAGTGTAGAGCTTAAACTAGTATTAAACTTTTAGTTTGAGGTCGTTTGTCGGCACAACATTTTTCGCTATAATTATGCTAAACCAACATAGTAATGAATTTGAAGGAAAAGCCTGAAGCTGTTCCCTTTTGAGCGTTGTGTTACTGCTGAGGAGACTTCAGGCTGCAGGGACGTGCGCTTTAAACTGGGGGTGCAGTTCAACTAAAAGTGCTGCTGGTGGGGTCATGAGATGTGTAGGGTCATGTGAAAAAGTCACTTCCACTTTAAGACATGTCAAAGAGATGTCAGCTATTCTTGGATTTTCATGCTTGTTTCACAATCTAATGAAATGTCTCAAGGGGAGTCCTTTTGGTCTGCTGCAACCCAGAGGTAGATGTTGTGTTTAGATAAGGGACCAAACATGATAGTCATAAACAAAGTCCTAACTCACTCCTTATGTGTCTAAAGCCTGTATCGCTAGCTTTCCCAAATCCGCTGAGCCTAAAATATATTTAGCGACTTGTTTAATTTATCAGTGAAGTTCAAAGAGTGTCTTATTCACGTCAATGTGTCTAACATAAAAGTGCTTAATAGGGAGAAAATATCCACTATATTCACTCTATAACAGCAATTCACTAACTTTGTCTGTAAACTCT